AGAATTTAAAACCTTGATAAGGTTAGTATTTTTGTGTTTATTAACTTTTTATTTATTTAACATTTTTCTTTTCTGTTTCTTTTATTTCATTCTCAGTTAATCGTAATTGGCAAACATATTTTAAACAAAAGAATGTCTGGGAGATACAAAAGCAGGCAAGTACATCGTTATCCTTGGAGAAATTGCATTTGGATTTGGGATTTCCAACGAGTAGATAGCAATCAGAGGATGCCAAAAAGGACTCATAATAATCCTTTAACCAAACAGGTTTTGATAACAATGGTTGTTGGTCGAATTCAAGAGCAAAGTGCGCCGGGAGTGCGAAAAGGATACAACCATTCCGTAGGGATTCGGCCAGCCACAAGCTAACTGTACTCACGGCTCCTTTTGTCGGGCTGTATCTCTCGGATACGCTCTCCGCAACGATTGTATCTCGCCCACACAAATGCGTTTTCGGAAAACATTTGCGCACACATAAATCAGGATCGCTGAGTTTTTCTAAAAATAAGTTTTCATCTTTCCACGACCCTTTTGCCTGGCTGCCTGCTTTGTGTATCCAGTGTCTGGGCAGTCCTGCCGTATCCTGTATCTGTATCTGTGTCTGCCAGACAGCGGCTTTTGCAGTCGGGCTTCCCACGTGATCTTTCCCGAATTTTCCTTTTTTGCCTGCCTGCCAATCGGTCTCTCTTTTGGGCTTTACCTTCGCAAAGCCTGGCCCGAAAAGGACACAAAACACACAAGTTCCTAGGCCTGGTATTCAAGCTGTTGTCTGGCCATTCCGGGAAATTCGTCGGATAATTTTGTGTATTTAGAGAGAATTCTGGAAATGCTGAGAATGAGCAGCGCTCTGCTTGCTTAGTATATACATTTTGGAGATTCGAGCGCCGACTAGCCGCCCTTAACTTTTCCACTTTGCTGACCTTGAACATCGAACAGATGCATCTGGTGTGTCGTGGCAGTCCCCATAATCCAAACATGAACACACCACCGGAAGCTGGGCGTAAACATAAACACGATCATTAGGTTATATGTATCTACGCTTTGGAAATCCCCCGCTCTCTTCGGCCCTCACTCTCTTTCTCTCTAAGTGGGAGAAAGTTTTCTCCGCTCGGAAAATGAAAAAGGAGACCAGCAACAACAACTGTTGAGTTAGGTAGAAAAACCCAAAAATAAATCAAGGATCCGGTACGAACGAAAAGCAGGCAGGCTCTACACTTGCTGCGCAACAGATACAGATGCATTTACATTTACAGATACAGATACACACGAACTGCTAGATTTATCTAAGTTAGAGAGAGATGGCTGAAAATTTCCACTGCAGCTGCGTTAGGGACTCGACGGATTTAGGACTCGGCTTCGGGCTTGGATTGGAAATTGAAAAATTGAATATCCGTAAGCTGGGACTAGTAGTGCAGTTTCGATTGTGTTGCCGTGTGGACGCTTTTCTTGGCTGGTGCAGTGCGTGGGTGAAAATGCAAATTAAAAAGCCACAGAAAGCTGAATAAGCTTCAAAGGTGCTTTAATTAAATAACAAATAAACTAAAAGCCTAAAGAGTGACTAAAAAGCTGAGAAAAGCCAGCAAAGCAAAGCCAAAACACGGCAACCAAGAACCTGCCCTAAAAAAATTATAAAATCACATAATTAATCTTTTTTTTTTGTAATTTACAGGTGCCTGAAGAAACATCTAGAATATTATAACCATTACTGATCGAAAAGCAACCCGCTAACCTATTCTTCTCTGTTTTCTAGATTCTTCAGGTAATGAGTTACAATTTAAAAATGGTTTCGGTTTCCCACAAACCCACTCACCACATACAAAAAACCACCAACACATCATGCCACCACATCATCATCCATCATCACCACAAAAAAAGAGTTTTTTTTTTATGCAAGAAAAGAAAAGAATTCAATAATGAATAAATAAAAAACAGTGTGATTACCAAATTAATAAAACTTATATTTATGTGTTTTTTTTTGTTTGCTTAATTTAAAAATATATACATTGGATTGTGTTTTATTTGAAAATTATTTTGTTGCTTATTTTTAGTATTTTTGGAACTTTAGTTAATTGCATGCCTCACCTTAATATTTTCTAACATTATTTTTTTGATTTTTACCCCAGCAACCCGAGAACTTTCACTTGCTTTTTCATTTGCTCACAGATCCATCAAAACGTTCGACAAAGCTCAGACCGAAGGAACTTCTTGAAAAGATTCTTGAAAAAAGCAACCAATTTAAGTAACTAAAATTAATCAACGACTATGTTTCATTTTCCAGATCTAAGCAGGAAGGAGAACACCGCCCCCGATGTGGCCACTTTCCAGCGCAGCATCCTCAACGGCAAGCAGCGGGATGAGCCGAAGATCCAGTTGCCTGGGTCCCGGCGCAAGCGCTTGTCCGTATCCGAGGTGTCCGACATGCTCTTCGAGTTCTACAAGTCCAAGTCGGCCAAGGTGCCCAAGCCAGATCAGGCCGAGATGGGCGGCGGCGGCGGTAAGTACGGCCAGGTGTCGCCTACTTCCGGCGAAATTCTGGAGCCCTCCGCCGTGGCTGCCATTGCCGTTTATGGCTCCGCCTCCGAGACGGCCTCAAAAAACTTGAATGCTGATGAAATGATGCGGTCACAGGGTGCAGCCGCTGGCACCGCCGCCTCATTTCATCCAAGGCTCAAATACCCGATCAACGCAGCGGCGGCGACGGCATCTCCCGGTACCGGGATAACGGCCATACCCACCTCGGTGCTGGTGGCCAATAGTGCTGTGGCAGCGGGCCAACCCCCGGTGGCGCCTGCCCAAAAGCCTCAGGCGGCCGTCATTGCCGAGGCATTGATGCGTAACGGCCTGCACAGCTTCCAGCAGCAGTTGCGCGTCCAGGAGATCCTCCGCCAGCAGACCCCACATCGTCGCATCAAGGAGGAGCGCGACGTCGGAGTGGCCAGCGATATAACACCCACGAAAATACTAGAGAACCTGCTAAGAAAACAACAGGAGCGCGATCTCCGCAATTCTGAGTGCGAGAACGAGCCGGGTTCCTCGACAGAGGACGAGGATGAGGGCCGCTTCCATGCCTTCGATGACATACACCTGATGGATCAGGGCGCCGGCGGTGGCGCCAAATTCGGCCATAACTCACTGGGCGGCATGTTCAGTGCCAGTAACCATGGCGGATCGGCCAACTCGATTCTGGAGGCGCAGGCCCAGGCCTTCCGTAACCTGGAGTTCTCTCTTAGCGACTACGGAGGCAGCAGCAGCAATGGCAGCACTACCAGTCCCAACGGCATCGGACTGGACGGAGAGCCGGTGTACGAGTGCCGTCACTGCGGCAAGAAGTACCGCTGGAAGTCGACCCTGCGCCGGCACGAGAACGTGGAGTGCGGCGGCAAGGAGCCGTCCCACCAGTGCCCCTACTGCCCGTACAAGTCCAAGCAGAGGGGCAACCTGGGGGTGCATGTCCGCAAGCACCACACCGATCTACCGCAGTTGCCCAGCAAGAGGCGCTCCAAGTACTCGATGAAGTGCGATACTACCATGAGCGGCGGATCCTTGTCGGACGACTCCCAGGGCAAGCTGATCATCGACTGCAATAAGTGAGAGCCGGACAACATGGCACTCTGGACTCGATACCAAATATCATAAACTTTTTATGGCGACCGTGTGAAGCTTCCATTTAATTTTAAATTCTCAAAAAAAAGGAAAGACGAAGAACTGGAGAGATTTTTAATTTGTCAATTTCTAATTATTATTTCTTGTCATTCATGTGTCATCCCAAATATTTAATGTTTACTTTGTAGTAATTTATGTATTCTAAGCAATTGTAAACCAATCTAATCAAGCAATCAATCAAACTAGTTTTTAAGGCCTCGAGCGAGAGCAGCTAACGTGGAATTTATTTTACAATCGAAAGCAAAAGCATTTTTTCGTCGACCTCGATCGACCTTGATATTGTGAGCCAGACAATTATATATTTTTTATACACGATTTTATGATTATTATAGGACTTTTATGCCGCAATCTTGAGAAAGACTCGAATATTGTTTTTTTAAGTTATCTAAAAACTAAGAGATTCAAATCATTGTGTCCAGAAAAGTATTAGGTTAGCACTCCTGGCCAACGCCGATACATTTTCCAGCTTCTTGCCCCAGAAAGCGCTTTTCCGCCAATCTTACGATCTCTTAACTTGGCTTGAACAAGCTCTCAAAGGCGGACATCCACCCCTTTTTCGATCTCCTCTATCGATTTTTACGACTGAATTTTAGTTTAGGTTGAGATTATTTTCGATATTATTATTTGGAAAAGAAACAAAATATTCCTCCCCTGAAGACATTCGTTTCATATACTTATGGACCTTAAGACTGACTTATGTATCTTACAAATTATACACCTATGACCAAAAATACTGGAACACCATACGATTCCCAAACCAAAAACCAAAACACTTATTACGACTAATGTTTATTATGATATTGATGTTTGTATCTTAGCTGATAAGCTTTTGTGCCGTCACATGTGTATCGCCCACCATGAATTTACGATTGTATACTTAAGATGATTATAATTCCTATATATCTGCATATCACAAGCTCACTTCCCGATGGAAGGAGCGCAACGATTACCAGGAACTCTGTAGGGCAGTGTGACTGCTGAAACAAGACACGATTTGTACTATTAATATTTCTTTTACAATGTTTAATCTTTAAATAAAACACGATTATATTTTACTTTTAAATTACAAATATGAGTGTATACTTTATTTTTAGGCGCAAGACACTTTGTACTATATGATGAAGTCGAACTGCGTTAACAAATACTTTTGAAATTGGATTCTGATAGTGAGAGGAGATTGCCATTTGACTGTTTAAAGAAGTATGCATTTCGTAAAAGCTATCAAACACCGTAAAATTTTTAAAATGCTCCACCAACGGAATTATGAGTAATTCTTTTAAGAGCTCTGTTCTGTGCAAGAGTGTGGATTTCCCTTGGAGTAGCTATCCAACAGTAGGTTCAGTTTAGTAAGAGCAGCCAATGGCCACGGTCAAGAAGTCCTCGAAGCCAATGGTAATGGTTCCATTTTGCTGGGTGTCGCGCTGCCTGAAGGCCTCCGTAAAGCGCTGGATCTGCACGCAAAGCACTATGAACTGATCCACGGATATCTCCTTGTGGGTCTGCGGATCGCTCTTCTTTACCAAGAAACCAATAAATTCTGGAGTGAACCGGAAACCCATTTGGGTGAAGGCTATGGAGAAATGGGATATATAACGAATATTAATACAAGGTATCCAACGTGATCAACTGGTTAGTTACCCTGGGTCAGCTCCTGCTCTTCGATGTGTCCCGAGTTGTCCTGGTCATAGGTCTTGAAGACCTGCAGCCACTGGTTGATATAGTTGTAGAGCTTCTCGAACTCATAAACATCAATGGTGCCGCTGGCATCGCTGTCAAACATACCTGAGTAAATCCAAAGAAAAAATTAATCATAGGGAGCGATAAACACATCACATAAACTTAGGGTAAACATAGCAGAGATAGTGCACCCCAGGTGTTTTAAACAAATACCCATGTGTGAGCCATTTAAATATTTAAATGTGTACCCAAAAACAGGCAACACGGAAGTCATGAAAAGTCCCTGCCCATTGACGTCACAGTTGCTTCGCTTACTTATCATAAGTTTGCAGGCGTTGTCCGAGAAATGGTCCCCGCGCCCATTGACGAGAGCAGCTTGCAGCTCCGAGGAGTTGATTTTTCCGGATCGATCGCGATCCACCATGGCAAACCATTGCTGCGCCTGGGGAGACACCTGGGCGTTCTGTGGCGGAAATGCTCCGGGCGGAGCGGCATAGCCTCCGGGTTGGGCATACGGATTATAACCTTGTCCCTGAAGGAGAAATATGTTAGACTCATGTAGGACTCAGTTTTGTACATTTTATTACTCACATACGACATTTCGTCACGAGTTTGATTATTTCTAATTGGAGACTGATTGACTAAACAAAATTAATACAGTTAGTGATGGGAATTGACTAGAGCTGGCAGCTGGATCGTGACACGAAATGTTTGCTGTCTCCTGTACAGCATTAGCCAACACTGATTTTACGCCGACTGCGAAGTATTTTGACAGTAATCGCTTCGCGCGCATCTCTAGACCGGCATAAACAAGCAGAAACTAAAAACATTATTTATTTATCATCATGTCGAATTTCGTGAATATGGACATTTTTTCGAACTACCAAAAGTACATAGACAATGAGCAGGAGCTGCGGGAGGTATGTGAAACCCAAAATTAATGGTAAACTTTCTTAATCGAGTTCTTTCAGAACATTCGCATTGTAGTGCGCGAAATCGAACAACTTGCCAAGGAAGCGCAAATCAAACTACAGGTTATCCACAGCGATTTGAGTCAAAGTAAGTGGTTGTATGTCAAAGTAACTGTATATAGTCTTTATTAAATGAAAATACTTTAAACGCAGTTAGTGGCGCATGTGGTTCTGCCCGCAAACATTTCGAGGCCTGTGCCGAAAAGTACAAGAAATTGGCCGATTTGGTGCCACCTGGTCAGTACTACCGGTGAGTCAGAAACCATTTACAATAGTTACCCTTGTGGGTGCCTAATGCTCCACTTTCTATAGATATTCCGACCACTGGACGTACATCACCCAACGCTTGATATTCATCATTGCTTTGGTTATTTACTTGGAGGCGGGATTTTTGGTTACGCGCGAAACTGTCGCCGAAGTGCTTGGTTGTAAGTAGAGAGTAGACTTCTTTTGTAGTATTTATTAACTGAGTTTTGTCAACAGTAAAAACTAACCACGCGGATGGCTTCCACCTGGATGTCGAGGACTATTTGCTGGGCATATTGCAGCTGGCTTCTGAGCTCTCTCGGTTCGCGACCAATTCGGTGACCATGGGTGACTACGAGCGCCCTCTTAACATTTCCCACTTTATTGGGGACCTGAACACGGGCTTTCGCCTGTTGAATCTGAAGAACGACGGCCTGCGCAAGCGTTTCGATGCCTTGAAGTACGACGTCAAAAAGATCGAGGAAGTTGTATACGATGTGAGCATTCGCGGTCTGTCTAGTAAGGAGAAGGAGACACAGGATGAACCGGCAGTGCCGGCATCTGAATAGTAACGTTTTGTACGTAGAATAAGGCGACCATTTATTTAAGAAACGAGTTTTGGTAAATGAAGTATGAGTTCCATTCAATGCAGATGTTTATATTCGTAAAAATATATCTCAATAATAATATCTTTCATTCCATTGTGGTAGTCTTTATAAACCAAATTACTGACCTATATTTTATGGTAATATTTCATTATGCAAGGCAAATGCACTTCGAAGACGCAACTTGACTCTTCACCTGGGAATTACAAATGCATTTGGGGCAACGTTTAAAACTTGAATTTATTACCCGTAAAAGTAATTTTTTAAGAGATTACCTAATCAATTTACAGTGGGTGTTATTACAAATCTTGAAAAGTGTAGCCGAGTATGAGTTTATTCCCGTTTCGGTTTTGACGTTAACTCGGCGCAACAATTGTGCTTACTTCGTTCGGGCTGTGTCTGTGTGCAGGCAAGCTTTAACCCTCTAAAAGAGGTTTAACCACCACCGCGTTCCAGGCCTGCGAACGGCTGCTGCTGTTGCTCCGATCAGTCTCTCTTTGCGCGCGCGTCTTTGTCGTTGTCCGTTTGTCGTCGTCGTCGTCGTGGTCGTACCGTCATTTTGAGTTGTTTTCCCCGAGTGTAATTTCCGTTCGTCAATTATATTTCGTACTAAGAAGCTGTGTGAAATTGCGAGCCTTTCTAATATTAGCAGGAAGTACGTATGTGATTACACTGCCCCAACGACCACCCACCCACCGTTGGCAGTTGCACAGGTCACCACAGAACCTGTTTGCAATAATTGGGTCACTAGCCTAACGACAAATCTTGTGAAAACTTGTTGCCTGAATTAGACACTAAAAAGTCAAATGATAATGCATTTTGTTACAACACTAACCAAGTGACTTGGGCTAGTTGTTGTTTGTTTGTTTTATTTTTTGTGCCATGATTTGGTTGTTGTTTTCATTTTTTTCAAAACACGCTTGGCTCGCCGCGGTTCAAAGTCCGAAACGGGTTTCTGTGCTTGGGGCTTAACGGAGGCGCTCTCTCACAGCTCTCTCTCTCTCCGTCCCTCAAAGCTGCGCAAAAGCTGAGAGAGCTTCGTTGGTAAACATCTGTAAACCAAAAACACACACCCACACTGGGGCAGGTGGTCGTCCCCCCTACCCTGTTTCTCTCGCTACTCGTAGGAAAAATGCCAAAGAAAAGCTTAAAACAAACTCGAAGCAAAAACAAAACAAGCCAGACTTCAAACACTCTAAAACTGCAGAGGAATCCATCGGAACCCCTAGCTATTGACCTCTCCATTGATTGTTTTGTTTTCATACCCGGCAATCGTATATGGAAGGGGTATACCGAGTACTATCAATATTATGCCTTGTTATGCAGCTATTCGATGTAAGAGTAACAAGCGTTGCCAAAGCAATCAAGATAAGGCGTATCGGAACCCCCTGAAGTTTACAATAGCAACGGATACATTTGAATAAATAGTTAAATGCGCTCTAAGATTTTCGCAAATCGCATTCTTTATCCTAAGCACTTTTTTTATTTACTTGGAGTTTGTGCTCGTCCATTTTTTAAGATACTGTTTACGGCTTACTTTGACTTGTTTACGGTACCGAGTCAATGAGTCTATTCGTACCAGTTTCTGAGCTATAATGGGTGCTTATTTAAATATAAATATAGCTAAGTTATTGATATTTGTGACCCGTTTTAAGGTGTGTAATTGCAAGCGATTAGGAAAATGACTAGCTTCATATAGTACCATACACTCATAGAAATTGTTTTTCTCATTATTTTGTAACAAACAGTATTTTAATTCAGAGTAATTTCATTTATGAATATGGATGCACTCGTGATTTTAAGAAAAGAAAACCATTAAATTATAATAAATTAAATAAAATAATCAACTTTCTATTGTGCTTTTTAATGAAAATAAACTTTAATAATATAACCACATAAACGGCATAAACTAAAATAGTTTTAAGGTAATTTTCTTTAAATATAACATCGCTTATAAATATATTATTAAAAGTGGTTTTCTTTAGTAAGCTCCCAAAAAAAAATTACTTGTTTTGTACTTAAATGTTAGCTTTTATTGCCTAAAAAATCAAAAAACTACAAACCTTTGCTGCTTAAATTTAAATTATTTTTATATATGTATCTTTCATATTATCTTTAAATATAAAGATATGGAGCTTTGCGTATCACAGGTATCTCAAAGTCGAGCTACTCACACTACCTTCTCCTCTTCATTTTATTCACTATTTTTTTTATTTTTCTGGCAGCTGTGAATGATTTGCGAGGGGTCCCATACATACAACTGGTTGCCAGTTGCCAGTTCCCAGCTCCCTGCTCCCAGCACGCAGTCTTTGTCTCGGGTCCCGCGTCTCGCTCTCGTTAGACATGCGTCGCTGCCGATCCGCTGCCGCGCTCGACGTCGCACATTTCAAGTTTGCTGCGGTTCAAAGTCCAACTCGAAGATACAGATACAACCGAAACGAACGCAGTCGGAGCAACTCTGTTAGCTGGCTGCAGCCCGCCTGCCCTCCACCCAAACAAGGGGCTGGATGTCTTAGACAGACTCTCTTCTGTTGGGCAGGGAGTACAGATCGAAGCCAGGTGCGAGGCGATAAGCGGGTTTATTTATGCCAAGTAGACACTTTTGACGCGTCACCGATTGCACTAGGTTATTATTTTTTTGGCAGGCACTTGTGCCATCTAATCGGAGCGGGGGCTCTCCAGCCCTCTTGATAAATTCCCCGAAATTGCGTACTACGAAAATTTCGCAGGCCCCCCCTGGCACTTGTTGGACTTTCAACTATAAATAATAGTGAGCGATAAAACCGAACCTCTCAATTGCTGCTTATCTGCTCCTCTGTGATTGGTCACTGGCTGTTATAAAATCAAATAATATACATAAGACTTGTTTTTCACTTTAATTTATCATGTGTGTGTTCTCATATTAGCCAACCGCAACAAGTAAACAGACTAACTAGCCGTGTAACGCCGATAAGATACGCTCTGGAGAGCCAGATTCTTAAAATCTAAGAGGCTTACATAAGCCTCGGGGACGCCGTGTTGCCGAAATCTGCGAAAAGGTCAAAGTCCCAATCTGCCGAATTTAAAGTTCATTCATGTTCCTATCTTTATGACACCCGTCCACAGTGGTTGCTCCCATAGGCCAAAAATAAAAAAATTGATAACGACAAAAATAATCGAAAAGTAAACAAATCGCCTCTAAAATGTCCAAGCTTCTTCATGACAAACCAGATTTTTCTAAAAATCGAACTGGATTTTCTAAAAAATGATTTGAAGATGCTCATTTGTAAAGCGCGGCTGCGCGCATCACGAATATTTCACAACTATACCGCACTTTGAAGTGGTCAGATCATTATTTACGTGTTCAAATTCAAATTATTTGTAATGGATTTTGAAGTTGAAGGTATTTTCTATAAAATGAGATACAATTTGATATATTAATAATAATTATTGTTATTATTATATTACTATGAACTAATGCATGTTTTTTTCCTATATTTTGAACGTATTTTTCATGTTTAGCTGAAGTTTTAGTAGTGATACCACAAAATTCTACAATTCGTTTATATACCAATGTGTTTGTCGGTCTCCAAGGGTAACAAATGTGAAAAAATTTTTTGCCAAAATTTGCCTATGTGTCTAATATCGTAAAAATACTAACACCATCTTAACATGAAAGTTGGGTAATTTCCGTTTTTTCAGTTATATGGCAGCTATAGGATATAGTCGGCTGATCCTTATGAAATTTGGTAGGTCGTGTTATTTTGTCAAATATAGCATTCTTACAAAAATTGAACTCTCTAACTGTAAAAACACCCAAGTTATAGCATTTTCGATCAATCAGTTATATGGCAGCTATATGATATAGTTGCCCGATCTGGCTGATTTTAATATATTATTTTAGAATAAAAATATAAATATTTTGTGCCAAGTTTCCAGTCCCTACCTCAACTAGAAGTATTTTTGGCCGCTCTCTTCATACAAGCCGGACCACTGTGCCGTCCCCCCCGATACGATGTTACGAAATGGGGTGTGCTATCGCTAATTTATGCTATATTTATAGCAGGATGAAAGATATATGGGACAGGCATATCATGTATGGTACATTTTTATTTTATTATACGAAAGGGGGTAATTGATACTTTCTAGTTTTGCGACTATACCTTCAATTAACTGAAATAATTTAATTTTTAAGAGGAATTCGAATTCGATATATTTAAATCTCAATCATTGTTGGATTATCGATTACATTTAGTATAATCTTCCTAAAGTGGACTAAATGATTGATTGAAGAGCTCGTACTTGACTCTACCGAGTGATTTTCAAAAAACATGTTTACGAAACAACATGAAATAGTTCTATCAATTCCTAAAAAGAGTACTCCTGCGTTCACCTACTTGGTTGAAGGGGTTACCCTTTCTCAGAATTCAGTCTAGCCATTCGCTGATATTGGTATTATGTGGGGTCCAATCGTATATCCATTTGGCTCGGGGCGAGTGATAAGCCCTCTATCGATCTGAGTCCGTGGGGCTGGAGGGGGGCGAATTATTAGCCGTACTACGGTCAACACACTCCACAGGCACCCCTTCCACTCGGGCAACGAGCCCCTCGACTCGTGACGCACCCACTCAAAAGCAAAATAAAACAAGAAACTAAAAAAAAAAAAAGAAAAGAGAAGAAACGAAGAGGCAAAAGCCCCATAGTCTCGGCGCTCGGTGTTTTTAAGACCCAAGGGAACTCGCTCTGTCCACATTGATTCAGTTGGCGCTCGACGTTCAAGCGATCAAGTCGTTTTGTGATCAAAAAAATATATAAAAAGAATTGAAAAAGACCCCCGGCACAAAGCCCCCCGAAGACTGAAAGTAACTCGTGTGTGTGCATCGCTGGCTAGGATTTCGAAATTGTCATCAAGAGTTTTATAAATACACCTGCGTCACACCAAAGTGCAATTAATTCGTCGTTTATTTTCGATTGAGGAAAGAGTTTTCACCGAAGGTTTGTTTAGTCTTTCCGTTCTGCGGTTCTTCTATTCTTGTTTTCACAGAAGGTCGTGTAAAGGGGGAAACCGTAAACAACGCCGCAAATAAATGAAAATGCTACTGCAAAGGTTGCATTTTTGCGGCTTACGTTGTCACATTTGGCTTGTTTGTCCGCTCTGATCTTCTGCCTTCTGGCCGCCCCCCCTTATCGCCGCCACACTTGCCGAGTGACCCAAATTCGGGCACATGTTTTTGATAGTTGACTAAAATAATAGGCCCCACTAACTCTCAGATAGCTGGGCTGTTATCAGCCGGGACGAATTCGTGGTCGTTACATAAAACCCGGCAGTGGACCCGCCCCCCTGCACAACACACCGCAAGGTCAGGCCCGCTCAATCTAGAAACACATCAATTTATATTTTCTGCAATATAATTAATGCGATAGAAGGAACTGGTGGGGGCTAGACACCGAGAGAGAGAGAGGAGCAAAAAGTGGAAAACATCATTGGTGGACTTTGCACCTTCGGGCCCAGCGAAAAAAAAAGATCGTTCGGCGACTAACTTGTGTATAAAAAAAAGAGGCAAACAAATCGCTCATACATATTAATTTTTTGTATTTCTTGTTTTTGTCTACGGTTCAAGTTTTTCGATTTGTTGTTAGACTTCTCGCCGATATGTACGCAAACAAATAAAAGCCGGCAGGGCGGTCGGTGCTCAAAATTATTAGGCATACGCCGCATAGTCGTCGCCTCGAACTGGGTCAAACGAAAACGAATCTGTATCTTGAATTTATTGTATCTTGTTGTGGCTATTTCGAGTTGGAGCTGCGCCGACCTTCGGCAATAGTGTTTAAGCATTAAACCAAGGCTTTTATAACTTTGTCTTGTCCAGCTTCGTGGCTGCGGAAGTTTTATTTTGGAACTACTCTGTTCCGACTATAAATAACCAATTGGATAGACAAAATACTTATATGTATGTGCACATGTGTGTCTATGCATGCAATGGAAATTAATATACCGGACTGCCGAGCTGCCATTTAATAGAAAAATAAAAATAATAAACAATAGTAATCGAATAATTGTGCGCCTCAATTGCCCAAGCATTTCCAGAGAATCTATAGAACCCCGTTTTAGGCTGTCTCTGTAGGTTTATCCGATCCGCAGATCGAATGCGGAATTCAAAAGTCCTACAGTGGACTTTGACTTGCCTGCTTACTGCAAACCCATTCTAGAAACCGCTGCCTAGACCTAGAATCCAGCATCTTCCAGCCAGACTCTGCTCCATCTATCTGCAGCCCCCGCCTGGGGTTATCGCCGCGGAATGAAACCGCTCTCAGTGACGTCAATTGCATGTACAATGTTATGACATCGAATACACTACCCTGAGTGATTTTAATTCATATATGGAAGAAAAGGCAGCATTATTGAACATTGCCCAGGTCCAAACAAACCCCTTTTGATACAGATATTAAGTGTGAAGTGGTATGTAGATTCCAGCTAGTCCAAAAACGCAATAAGCCCGAAATACGAGGGGCTAACTGACCAAGATAATACCCGTTTATTATTAGTCACGGCCTTAAATGTGTCTGGATGTTTTAAAAGAAATCTTATCGTTTCGGGAATATTATGTCTAAATGCCACTAGACCACAAAGGCCATTATCACGGCGAATGTGGGCGTTAACCTGTTGTTTTTGTATCATTAGAGGGTTTACAACTGCTACGATCTTGATGAAAGTGCTTATATAAGCAACTGCGGATTAACCTTCCATCCTTTCTATTAACAGAATTTTTCCATTGGCCCGGATACCATCAGTAGCCTGCAGGTATGGCTGAAGCCCATGCCGCCGTCGCCTTCTCCTTTGCCATCACCCACGAGGGCTTCGACATCAACTATGACCACGAGGTGCTCAACTTGGTGTGGAACTCGGGTGTGCGCTCCTGGAAAAAGCGTGTGGCCCGCGCACGGGTGAGTCTAATTCAAAGAAATAACCCAAATGATGACTCACGCACTTCGTTTCATTTATCCAGAACGGCGTGCGCAATGGTGTCTATCCGGCCCACATTCAGAGCCTTTGGCTGATTACGGCCATTGCCCTGGGCCTGCACTTCGCCGGCTATCAGGCACCCTTCAATCTCACCAACCGGATACTGGAACACCTGCCCTCCAACACGGTCAACTGGCAGGTGACCGCCTCTTTCCTGGCCGCCTTGGTGGTCTGGCTCTCCATTTGCTTCACCATGCGGTACACCCTGAAGCTCCTGCTTATGTACAAGGGCTGGATGTACGAGTCCAGAGCTCCCGGAAGCCGTGTCTCGTTGCCCACTATGTTGTGGGTGGCCGTGGTGCGGGTACTCTCCAGCTGGAACAAGCCAGGATTGTACAGTTTCCAGGGCTCCCTGCCTAGACTGCCACTGCCCTCGGTGAAGGACACGATGTCGCGGTATTTGCGCAGTGTCCGACCTCTTTTGGACGATGATAACTACACGCGAATGGAGCGCCTGGCCAAGGAGTTCGAGCAGACCATCGGCAAGAAGCTGCAGTGGTACCTCATCCTCAAGAGCTGGTGGTCCACCAACTACGTGTCCGATTGGTGGGAGGAGTACGTCTATCTGCGCGGTCGCAGTCCCCTCTGCGTCAATAGTAACTTCTATGGCACGGATGCTATTTTCATGAACCTCACCAGCATCCAGGCGGCTCGTGCGGCCAACGTGGTATCTCTTCTCCTTAACTTCCGGAAATTAATTGAACATCAAGAACTTCAGCCAGTAAGTAATCAAAATAAACTTATGAAGTATTTTATAACTTTTTTTAATCCTTTTTTTTAGATCATGGTCCAGGGCATGATCCCCCTCTGCTCCTGGCAATACGAGCGCACCTTCAACACTGCCCGTGTTCCTGGTCTGGAAACCGATCGCATTGTCCACTACCGTGACTCCAATCACATTGTTGTCCTCCACAAGGGTTGCTACTACAAGATGCTCATCTACTACAAGGGTCGCACCCTCCGTCCCTGTGAGCTGCAAGTGTGAGTATTAACAAAATTTATAACTAACAACAATTTTTAATAATAACTCCTAATTCCAGTCAAATCGAGGAGATTCTGAAGGCAAAGGCCACTCCATTGTCGGGTGAGGAGCACCTGGCTGCCCTGACCGCCTGGAACCGATCCAAATGGGCCGAGGCCCGCAACACCTTCTTCTCGAGGGGCGCCAATCATGTGTCCCTGCGCACCATTGAGTCCGCCGCCTTTGTGCTCTCCCTGGACGACGAACCCTTCGAGTTCGACCTGGCCCGTCCAGAGCTGTTGGACAACTTTGGCAAGAAACTGCTCCACGGCAACGGCTACAATCGTTGGTTCGACAAGTGCTTCACCGTATGCGTGGGCACCAACGGACGCGTTGGCTTCAACGCCGAGCACACCTGGTAAGTGTGATCTCTGAACCCAAACCCATTAAGAAAATATTTCAGTTTCAAAGTCCCGATTAAGCAAAGTTGTTAAAATTTTAAACTTTATATCAATATATATCTAAACAAAATTCTAAACTAATTTGCAAAAAAAGGTCAGACGCTGCCATTGCCTCTCACATGTGGGAAAACCTGATCATCGATGACCTCCAGTCGGATGGGTAATGATTTTCGATTCTACTGCCCGACGGTGTCGGTTGGCTGCTTCTCTCGATTATCCATTCCTCCCATTTATTTTGTCCCTTATTGATTTGTTAACTTGGTTGTGGCCTCACGATTTATTTACACCATTCTATACACGTTTTTTATAGGGCCGATGCACCGGTTTTGGGCCATCTATGGGAATATATATTTGGTGATGATATATATGGGTAAACACTTATTCCAAAGCACACAAGCACAAAGCAAAGCAATTCATTCGGTCGATTTTGGGTTGAAAGTGAGGGTCTCTAAAGATGTCTCTGTAAATATTTGAAAAGTGCTTACAAATCGTTTTTAAAACTAATAGGTTGTGTGTGACTCAAAGAAAACTTATACAAAATTTAAGAAAAAAAAATAATATAAAAAGTTAATCATTATTACATTAAAAAAGTCTTTCCTGATCAACCCAAAAAAACGACACATCAAAATTCATTATTATTTTTTACACCGTCACTAACTCACTAGACTCAACATTAACCAAAGCCTTTTGTTTACGTTGCTTGCCTTAATTTTTTTTTCTAACAATTAATCTTAATCATGGGTGCTAATGAATTTATTCCTAAAACTTCTGTAGATATGACGAGTCTGGTAACACGAAGGGCACCCCTGAATTCCAGCCTCCCACTCCAACTCGCCTCAACTGGGATCTGACGCCCTGTCTGACCCAAATCGAGGAGGCCACCATCGACGTGACCAAGCTGATCAACGAGGTCAACCTGCGCATCCTGGTCCACCAGGAGTACGGCAAGGGCTTCATGAAGAAGTGCCGCATTTCCCCAGACGCCTATATCCAAATGGCCCTGCAGTTGGCCTACTACCGCGATGCGGGACGCTTCTCGCTGACCTATGAGGCTTCCATGACGCGTCTCTTCCGCGAAGGCCGAACGGAGACAGTGCGTCCCTGCACCATTGAATCATCTGCCTGGGTTAAGGCTATGCAGAATCCAAACACTAGTGTAAGTTACGATTTAAAGTGAAAACAATGTTCAAGTCTGATTTTTCATATTTTCGTTTTTGCAGAACGATGAGCGTGTGAAGATGATGCAGGCTGCTTGTGATCGCCACCAGCTGGGCTACCAGGATGCCATGTGCGGTCGTGGCATTGATAGGCATCTCTTCTGCCTGTATGTGGTGTCCAAGTACCTGGAGGTGGACTCTCCCTTCCTCAACGAGGTGCTCAGCGAACCCTGGCGCCTGTCCACTAGTCAGACCCCGCACGGCCAGACGCCGAAGATGGACCTGAAGAAGCACCCGAACTGCATCAGTGCCGGCGGTGGCTTCGGGCCAGTGGCTGATGATGGCTATGGTGTGTCGTACATCATTGCCGGCGAGAACCTCATCTTCTTCCACATCTCGGCGAAGACAACGTGCCAGCAAACGGTGCGTATCCAAAAATATATTTTAAAATAATTAAAGATGATCAACATTATATATTTTTAGGATGTCCACCGATTCTCCCAGAACATCTCACAGGCTCTGGCCGATATCCGCACCATGTTCGAACAGCATATGAAGGACCATCCGAAGCCCGCCAAAAAACTCACAAACGGCTCCACATAATCCACATAGTCCATATTATTTAGTCCATGTAGTCGAGATTCTTGTTAGCATTTGTTTTCCTCTTCTCTAGTTGATCGTTTTAAACAAACAAACAAACAAACACATCATATACATCCGTCGATTGTAAGTTCCAAATTAAGTGCAAAAGTCGTTGAGAGAGTTATGCAAAAACAATGCAATTTTTTATAAAAACTATTGTGACTTGGCTGATTTTAAGATGTAGTCGTTAGAAACTTTTGCACAATATTTGATGTTTCTCAAGCAATTAGTTTTTAATCGAAGAAATCGTGTAAGTTAAGTGCTATAAATATATATTTCAATTTAAGCGTAAAAAAATAGTTTGTGTTTTGTACTTTATCACGCAGCCAGTGGATTCGCATGGATCGTGACGCCGTTGATCTTTTTGTCCACATGGGGCCGGTAGTTTTTGGGATTCACGGGCAGCTTTTCCAGCTCGTCCAAGGCGTCGAATCCATCTATAACACGGCCGAAGAGGGTGTACTTCAGGTCAAGATTCGGTTGGGCTGCATACGTGATGAAGAACTGGCTGGCATTGGCGTTGGGACCATTGTTGGCCATGGACACCATTCCCCGATCCGTGTGCTGGAAAACATTATTCATACTATTAATATTTAATAATTATTTGGAGATTTTGAATGCTAGGTAGAAAATTAAGTTTTCCAGCCCTGGATGATTCTTAATCCTCAAGTATTCCAAGTCGTACCTTTATGGTTTCTTTGAACTCGTCATCAAACTTCTGTCCCCAAATGGACTGTCCGTTCTTTCCGGTGTTGGTGGGATCACCAGTCTGGACTATGAATCCTTTGATATTGCGGATAAACACACATCCGCTGTAGTAGTCGCTGGCGCACAAGGCGAGGAAGTTCTCGCAGGCCTTGGGGCAGGCGTCGCAGAAGAGCTCGATCTTAAGGTCGCCCACGTCAGTATGCAACGTAACAGACTGAAAATTGGATGGAATTCCTTATTAAACAGTAAAATAACAAATTCGCCGACTTTTGTTTACCATTTCCTTAGTGTGGGGCTTAGAGGTGCAAAAAACATCGATGAAAACATCGATGCATCGATGTTTTTTGAATTTTCCAAAACATCGATGTTTTTTTTTGACCATCGATGTTTTTGTGCCGTCACTATCAAGAGAACAAGCAAAGAAGAGGTACGTAAATTTTAAATTTTAAATTTAAAAATTTTAAAGATTTAAAAATTTTAATTTTAAATTTTAAAATTTTATTACAACCGTATGTCTATTTATCTATTTAACTTATTTAAAAAATATTTTTTTAATTTTTAAAAACATCGATGTTTCATCGATGTTTTGGGAAAAACATCGAAAAACATCGATGTCTCCATACATCGATGTTTTTGCACCTCTAGTGGGGCTCTTGTAAATATTAAAAAGGGTTGTCAAAGTATTAATATATCGATATTCTTGTTATGAAAATAATTGTTTATATCGGTATATAATTTTCCCTAAATATCGTGATCTCAGCGCCATCTGTGGGTCACAAATACAATTTCAGTAAAAAACTCCTTAAAAATCAGGAGAAAAACAATAAACATAAACGAAAACTGCGAATAAAATAGGGTTCCGGGCGGATAAACGTTTCGGACGTAAAGAAAACGTAAGATATAATTTAAAATTTTAAGCAGAGAAAGAGTTTAAATATGTGGCAGCGCCATTTCTTACAGTGGCTTTCAAACTGTGAGGGAATAATGTCCAATGTTGGTCAACGTATGATTCGAAATTTTCTGCAACACTGTAAAATTTCGCGGGAAATCTACCGCATAATTCCTCCCAGCCCAACGATCACCCAAACAGTAGAAAAGTAAGTGAATAAGGATGAAGTGCAAGATACCTGAGATCTCGTGGCACAACCGCGATCCTGTTCTAAGCGTGGACATTCAGCAGAACGGCCAAGGTCTGCGGGATCCCACCATCTGTCGACTGGCCTCGGGCGGGACCGATGCTCACGTCCTCATCTGGTATGTGAACCGAGCCAAGGACGATGGGGGTGAGGGGGTGGACCTGGAGCTGGCCGTCGATCTTTCTCGGCATCAGCGGGCGGTCAACACAGTGCGCTGGTCGCCAAACGGCGAACTGCTGGCCTCCGGCGACGACGAAAGTGTGGTCTTTATTTGGAAACAGAAGGCTGACCATGAAGTGATCAATATTGTGGATGAGGACGGGCAGAGCGAACAGGATAAGGAGGTGTGGACGACTCTGAAGGTGCTACGCGGCCACCGCGAGGATATCTATGATCTTAGCTGGTCGCCCAATTCGCTGTTCTTGGTTACCGGATCGGTGGACAACACGGCTATGATGTGGGACGTGTACAAGGGCAAGTCGTTGGCCATTCTGGACGATCATAAGGGCTATGTGCAGGGCGTCGCCTGGGATCCGTGCAATCAATACATTGCCACCATGAGCACAGATAGGTAAGAATTTGTTGTTTTAAGATTTGACACCGAAATTTTTCTAAATATTTATTATCCTGGCAGGCAAATGCGCATCTTCGATGTCAATACCAAGCGGGTACTGCACCGGGTCAGCAAGTGTGCATTTCCTGTGAAGGAGGATCACGAGATGCACGGCAGGGGCATCCGGCTGTACCACGACGGAACCCTGCAGACCTTTTTCCGCCGATTGTGCTTTACTCCTGATGGCAAGATCCTGCTCACGCCCGCCGGCATCACCGACTACGACGGAGTGATGAAACCGCTGAACACCACATACGGATTTAGTCGCTACGATCTGTCCCATCCCGCTTTTGTGCTGCCCTTTCCCAACGAGTATGCCGTGGCCGTGCGCTGTTCGCCGGTTCTGTACCGTCTGAGACCGTACAACGCCGAGAAGAACCCTCCTGTCATCTCCCTGCCCTACCGAATGATCTATGCCGTGGCCACCAAGAACTCCGTGTTCTTTTACGACACCCAGCAATCGGTGCCGTTTGCTATTGTCTCCAATATCCACTATACGCGTCTAACAGATCTCACCTGGTCAAGTGACGGGAACGTGTTGATTGTCTCCAGCACCGACGGTTTTTGTTCGCTGTTGACCTTCGAACCGGATGAACTGGGCGAGCAGTACGAGGAGATGGAGGCAGTGCTGAGTGCTACTCTAAAGTCTTCGGAGAACGTGGCGCCTCCGACAAAGAAAAAGAAGCAAAAGGTCCGGAAACCGTCATCTGACGAACTGCCACGACGGCCACTGCAGGACAAGACCAAGTCGAATCAAAAGGACAGAAAGACAGCCGCCGGCTCGGAGCTCAAGGAGGAGGGTGAGACAGATCTGGATGCTGAAAATGACTCGTCAATGCACAGCGCCAGCTCTGGATCCAGCTCTAACAGTCCGAAAACTGAGAAAACTCAGATCAAGCCCACGCCCATCGCCTTCCGGCGGTCGCCCCGAAAAGTGACACCCACACCAATTGCCACACGCCGTTCCCCACGGAAGACGGAACCGGAAGAAGTCAAAGGCAATGGTCAAAAGCCCACGCCTATTGCAATTCGTCGGTCGCCTCGCAAGGTAGAGGATGCGCCTGCTGTTGTTCCATCATCACCTGCTACCCTCAAGCGCAAGATCAGCACGGAGGCGGAGCCTTCACCGCTGGCAGGGGGAGTCATTGTGGTGCTGGACAAGGAGATCATCAGCTCGGAGGAGAAGTTCGAGTCGCCGGAGAAGAAATGCCGCCCGGCCACACCCATTCAGGTGCGTCGCCAGCCACGCACACCCGGCAGCGCAAGCAGCTTCAACCTCACACCGAAAAGCCAATCTGCCAAACAAGCCACGCCCATTGCTGTGAGGAGAACTCCACGGGTTCTCGTGGAGATGCCGGTCAACTCGCCCGTGGTTCCCGTAGAGGAGGCCATGGACGCTTGGCCCTTAGAGGATGGCGTCTCTCCGCTGCCGTCTTCGCAAAAGGACTCCCAGGATCCACCTCAGCCAGAGGTCAAGGAGAAGAAAGAGTCGAAGTCAGTGCCTTTGGAGGTCAGCGAGGCGACGTGTGAACGCACCGAGGACATTCGCCTCGTCTACGAGGATACGCAGGAGGAGCAGGCGGCCAGCACGCCATCCAAGCCCACCGCCTCGAAGCCGTCCTCGCCCAACAACAAAACTCCGCGACGCGTCTCCTTGCGCACAATTTCCACACCGAAATCAAAAAAGAAATTGTTAGAGTAGACTGGAACCTATAGATTAGTCAAATTATAAATATCAAAAATAAAATACAAGACAAGGTTTTAGAAAGTACACTTTTATCTTACTTAGATAATATTACTTTAAGTATTATATATCTTAACTTTTTCAGATTGAAATGGCATTGTTGGGCGACAAAATACTGTCCGGCGAGTCTGTATTTGTGATTTATGGAAGCAAAAGGAGTCTGGATTATTTTCCATTTCCAGAAATTGTTCAGCTTTTAGAGAAAAAGGAAAGTGGAGTTCTTATATTGGTAGCTACGCGGGAGCAGAAGCTTAAACTGAGGGAACTGATCTGCAAGGAGCTTAGGGAAAAAGGTTCCAGTAACTTCTTAGAGAGAAAACTTTTAATAGAAACGCCGGCCCAGTTACAAGACCAACTCCAAACAGGACCGAACCAAATACCCCTCAATATAAATAGCTTTGGAAGCCTTGTGTTCCACGAATTGGATAAACTTGTGGAATATAATGACGCTACATTTGAGGAATTAAAACAGGAACTTTTCAGCGCACTTAGTCATCCCCAACTCATAGTCACCACTGGCTGCTGGAATCGAAACCTCTTGGGTGGTCTTCTAGAGCGTTCCAACCAGAATTTTGTAATTTTAAAGGATGCTTTGGAAGCAGCTGTCTATTCCGACTTGGCCATGACAATTGAGTGGGCCAATGATTCAGCAGAAAAGGTACAGCTACTGCACTCCTACCTGGAGTCCTTCAGACCGGCCCAATATCGCACCCTAATTTATGCTGCGAATGCAAATGAATTGGCAAATAAAATGCCAAATATTAGAACCCTTGAGCATCAAGGTAGAGCGAGTAAAAATGCGATTAAAAATTGGCAAGAGGAGGTATATTAATTTAAGATTATTATTTTCAAGTGAAGTGAAAGTAAAACATATATTTTCAGACCAAGGGCCAAGTTCTGGTGCTGGAAAAGCACTCACCCGAACTCAAGTTGGACCAAATAGAAAGCAATGTTCACTTCGACATGCCCAAGACATGGAACCAATTCAGGGAACGCTTTGGTGTTTTTAAGGAGGACCCGCCCCTTCAGTCTCTAGTTGTGCTGGACAAGGAAACCAGACATTTTTTACCTCATCTCGTAGAGTTCCAGCAGAGACACGGTGGTGTCATAAGCGAGAAAATCGCCGCCGAACATGTACAGTTGCGACAGGATCGGGAAATATCGAGCGCCAGCCGTCAATGTGTCATATGCCCAGTTCTGCTACTCTACGGCCGCTGCAGGACTCTTACCTGCCAATACCGTCATTTGTTGGGCGAAGTTGACAGAAGTGTACTCTCGACTGTACCAAAGGAAGGACGAATTCAATTCAAAGTGCTCAAGGTGGGCGGTCTTTTACCTTGTCGAAGTTTTTAATGGAATTTGGGTTTCTTTCAGATCTGCACACCAACCCACTTTGCAAGTCGGTTATTAACCCTAAAAGCAGATGAAAGTACAGTCTGTGTTAAATATCCACAAAAGGAAGTTCAAGAACTATTAGAAAAGCATTACTCCAAACCGGAGAACATCGAAGAATTAAGAGAACCCCTTCTTCAGGATATCTGTGCTTACAAATGCTCTGATGGCAGATTTGAAAGAGTTTCCATAACATTTTTGCCCCACAACTCGAGAGATTCCGACATTCGGGTTAAAAATTTAGATTCCAATACAGCCATATATCATGTGAAGCCCCAGGAGCTGGTACAGCTACCTGAGGACCTTAAAAATCTTCCCCCTACGGCCTTGGACATAAGGCTGGTGGGCTGTATTCCTTTCAATGGAGAGGAGACCTGGCAAAGCCTCGATCTGCAAACAGTTGGAGAGTTTATTAAAGAAGGCGATGTTTGCGAAGCAACCATTTGCTTCTCCCTATCACATACCATATTTGTAGAGCAATTAGTGGTAAAACAGGGAAGCTATAGGGACCTTCTAGAGCGAAAAAAACTAAGCAGATACGATAATGAAATATGCAATTGCCTGAAAAAGTTGTGCAATGAATAAATTAACGACTGAGTTTTGTTTTATTTATATTTATTTAAATTGTAGATGATCTCTAACGTTTTGAGTTTCTTTTACATACAAACATTTTGGTTTTATTTTCGTTTTGTTTATGCCTCCGTATTATATCATTAGTATCTGTTTTATTTTTCATATATATATATATATTTTATATTAAATTTTCAATTCAACGATTCAATTTCTTTCTTCGATCTCGAGCTTAGTAAGTTTCTGAGTTTTTATTGGCTCGTTCTAAAACTTTTCCATGGGCCATTAGAGAGAGAAAAGGAGCTCAAGACTTGGGAAAATTGTATTTCCACATACTCGTACGTCACTATAAGTTTATAAATATACTTTTGTTTTATTATTATTATTTCTTTTTTTTTGCCATATACAAGTTAAACAAATCGAATCTGCTGCTGCATGGGACAACCAAAGCAATTTGAATTAGGCTACAAATTAGATTAGATACAATGTCAAAAACTTTGTCTAACCTATATACTTGGTTCCGCTTTCCACGTCCTCCAATCCTCGTCTCCGCTGCCTCGATACCTCGTATCCTTATACATTCTGTATTCTGGGGATTCGTGTGCCTGTCTGTCTGAGTGTCTGTGGCGACATTTGATTTGAATTAATTAACATTACCCTTCTTAGCGACTCATCGACTTTCATAAATGTTTTAACTGCTATTAAAGTAATTTTTAGTAGTGGTGCGACTTTATGCTTTTGTTTACGATTTACGATTTACGATTTACGACTTAAATGGTTCTGGGTGTGACTGGTGTGGAGCAAAGAGGTGTATGAGCTTAGAAAAATATGAATTATGTTTGATTCCATTCCCTTCCATTCCACTCTGCACTCTACTCAAGTCAAATATTCAATTATTGAAAATATGCAAAGTGTTTAGTCGATATTTTATAATGCGGTTAATGCTATGCTGTACTATATGAACGAATGTTTACTGCTTTCATAATTTTTTTTACTTTATTTACTTTAGTTTTGTGATCGATTCTCTTGATTCTTGATTCAAAAAGTTGAGCTACGACGAGGAGGAAAATTATAGTCGCTTCCGTATGATTACTTCGATTAATAATAATTTACGAGAAAAATATAGTACATATGTATGTCTGTATGTAGCCATTTGTTGATTCATCATTCACTAAATATACATATATATTTAAATTCATATATTCTGTATAGATCTGTATATTTGTAGACCGACCATTGTCACGAGGGTAAATGAATAACTTTCTGTTTCTGTTTCTGTATCTTTATCGGTTTTTCTGATTTGTGGCTTAATTAAATTGTCAATAAATATATCGAATTTGTATTTATTTATAATTACATACAATTATTAAACTCTCTTGTTCTTGATTTCATTTCTGCATTGCTACTGGTCGAGAGACTACTGTACTTTTCATATCAATATCATTCAATTATTCAATTATCGTTAGCATTATCTTTTCTGTGACCGGATGCTGTTACCCCGAAATGCGAAGAAGCCATCAGCAACTCCAGCAACATTGTTTTTAATTTTTTGTTTCTCTATTTCGTGCAACATGGCCAACAAAACCTTATTCTGGCTGTAAGAAAATCAAACAACTAAAAATATAAAAATAACAAAATCATCATAGTTTTGTTTTTGAATAAATAGTTTTATTTGAAAATGGTTTTTGCGTTTGTTTTTGTTTTTTTTTTTGTTGTTTTTCATTTTGGTAGAATTTTACAAGTTGAATGGAAAATACATATTAAATATTACAGTATTTTATTGGGCTAGGATATAGTAGAGATAGAGAGAGAGGAGAGGGTTGGGTGTGGGTTAAAGGGCATGTTGGCTGACCTAAATAAATGCCTGGAAATGAGAGGTTTGCTGGGGATTCAGAAACTGTACGGATCTGTTGTGGGATATAGCCAACACAAAACAACTTTTGAAAAGTTTATTCACTGGATTCTGATTTGATTTCCCAAAAATCTTCCCAACGAAATTATTTCGTTGGGCTTTGTGCGAACCGAATGTCAAATAATATTTATTTCGCTAATAAACTTACTTAGTTGATGCTTAAGTTTTTGTGTGTTTCGTGTGCGTTTACATAAATTAGACTTAAAAACTATAAAACATAAATGGATTCCTTCCAACTCGAGCCAGAGCACAATAAAAGAGATTTCCAGTGAAAGTGGAGTGGGAGGAGGGTGGTAAAAGGGGGGATATGACTGAGCAGATACAAAAAATAGGAAAAATTACTATTTAAAAATAACAATATAAATTCATTGCAAAACGGTTTTGTGTAAAATCAAAATGCACAGGAGGCCGCACATACAAAGCATATACAAATACATACACTCAATTGTAATAATTATAATAATAATAATAATAATAATAAGTCTAACCAAACAGTTCAACATACTTGGGGGATTAAATGCCATTCACTAAATACAGTTTGTTGATACCATTAAAGTACAATTTATAAATATTAATACATACAATCCTTATAGCTTTCAGTGTGGTAGATTTGAGTTCTGCGTTCCCGTTTGTTAAGTTCATACTTTTGTTAATTTTGATTTGTAAATGGTGGAGCTGGAGTTTCCCGAAACTCGTTTCAATTTCCATTCAGAATATTTTCCAAAATCGAAACTAGTTTCGGTAACTCGTCCTCCTTGTGTGCGTGTGTGTGTATATCTGTGCGCAGAGATATGGCAAAAATATATAGCATGCTTTTGTGCGCAGCATCGTATAAATGCAATAAATCATTAATAATTACAACTCAGCTTACAAATTGAAATAAATGAATGTTACAGTGTTTTATCAATTGTTTGTGTACGTGTGTGTGTTGCCAGCTAAACTTCATCTATACACGTAAGTTCAACAAATTACAATTTACATTGAAATGTTCCAATCGACCAATGCTGCTCTTTACACAAGTTAGTTACGTGGCCACATATGCGTTTAATTTATACTCTCTTTACTTTTAAATTGGTTTTGTTTAGTTAGGTTTTGTTTGTTGTTTTTGTTTTTGTTTCGTTCTTGTAAATACAATAGATAGAGTTTTATATCCGTTTCACTTTGTTGTTTATCTTTAAATTAGACTTAGACATTAGGGATTTGCTTTCATTATGTTTTGTGTGTTATTTGGTTTTTGGTTTGTTCATGTTTATGTTATGTAATATTTACTTTAGCCCACACGCTGACACGCAATCAAGTCAATATTAAATTGTGATGTTTGCGGATGTTGGATGCTATTGAAACTTTCAAACTTAGGTCTAAACAAGCGATGACAAATGCAGAGCGTTGATGGCTTGAATAATTTCAAAGAGAGATTGCAACAGGAAACATTTAATATATTTATATATATATATATATATGTGTAGAACTATATGTATATATATATATACGCTCTTTTGTTTTATCTTTTCGTTTAATAAATACACGAGGAAACTAAGCTACAAGTAAATTATGAAATTCTATCAAAAATTATTCAGACCAAACAACAACTGGATGCAATGCTCCTGGCGCCTGTGTCTTGTCATGTGTGAGTGTGTGTGTTGGTTGTGGCATGTCGTACATGTGGCTTTGCATTATGCATATGTATGTGTCATGTATATGTGTATGTATATAGGAAATGCTTTTTCAATCAACTGCTTCTCAAAAATGCCTGCTGTTTCCATCGCTCTCATGCGACTGCCTCGCGTGTCCTTTCGTGTTAATCTCATCCTGATCATCGTTAGCATTGTATCTGCTTCAATATTTAATATGTAATATGTTATGTACTGCCTGGCTTATTCGACATGTCGTTACTTTGGGGCATTCCCGGCCGCATGCCGCATGCCGTCCGCCATTCGCCGTTTGTTAAACAAATAAAAGTTCTTTGGGCTTTGCTTAATCATCGTGGGTGTATGGTGTGTGCTGTGAGAGTCTGTGTTGTGTGTCCTTTGTGTTGCGATTGTTGGTTCTATCATCGTTTTGCTCTTAAATTGTTTGGTTTTGTTTTGATCAATGCTGGTGGGTTGTTGTGCTCCCGCGCTGCTCTTTAATACCGTTACGGTGTTCCCTGCTAACGCCCCTATTCCATCCATCCATCCATCCATCCCGCTCCGCTCCGCTCCGATTAAGCGGATCGTCGGCGTGTATACTCCCGTCCCAGTAGTAGCTTAGTACAGTCCACAGCCGCGCAGATTGTTTGCAATGATGACATCGGTGACAGCATCGAATACAAACTGAATGTTGTTGGTATCTGTGGCACACGTCATGTGGCAGTAGATTTCTTTTGAGGTTGATTTGTTTTTCGCTTCAAATTGAGCCTGAATATAAGCAGCCGCCTCGCCGTACTCCTGTCCGCCTGGAACGTCAAGAGGAGAGTGGATTGAAGGACAATCTTCGGGCAAAGCCAGCCATACACTACTCACCTGTGTACTCGGGGAAGCAAATTGTCAGAGGACTCTTGCGGATCTTCTCCTCGAACAAGTCCTTCTTGTTCAAGAACAGAATGATCGAGGTATCCGTGAACCACTTATTGTTACAGATTGAATCGAACAGCTTCAGCGACTCTTGCATGCGGTTCTGCAGGGAGATTAAATGGAATTACTATATGAAAAGTAGTGACCTTTAAGACTAGACCTACCGTGGTTTCATCCTCATGCAAGACCTGGTCGTACTCGGACATGGCCACGCAGAAAATGATCGCTGTGACATCCTCGAAGCAGTGTATCCACTTCTTACGCTCCGAGCGCTGGCCGCCCACGTCGAACAATCTGTTGGATAGTCGCATTAGTATTACCAATCATAGAGAGAGACTATGATCCACTCACTTAAAGTTGAGATTTTTGAAGGAGAAGTGCACCTCCACGATGCCAGTGGTCTTGACGCGAGTGCGCAAGATGTCCTGTTCAGTTGGCTGGTAGTCCTTGGCGCCTAACCGATCCAAGTCGTCCAGGAAACTGCAAGGAGAGAGAACAAAGACCGCTGTTACTAACCGGGCAGATAGTACTGGGGGGGTTTCATTTCGCTTGACCAGACCAATGTTTGCCCAACCGGCCCACCCACCCACGCTCTCGCCCCGGGCATGTATCATCCAGAGACTTGTGCAAACAATTAAGAAGCAGGCCAGAGCACTAAGCAAACAATTAAAAACAAAAAAGCAGGCGCGTGTGTCCAAACCGAGAACAGGACTGCTTGCACAGGACACACATAAAAGGACACACATTACTTGGTTATTCAAGCCAAGCGGCCTCCAGCGTCCCTCCTTTGCTGAGGAAACTATCTATTCAAAATGATTCCCATTTCCGTGACCATCTAGCTGTCCTGCCACTCTGGTTCTGGTTCTAGTTTCCGTCCACGGTGGCTGGTAATTAGTTTTATTTTCCGGTTCGGTTGTATAAGTGCAACACCCCGCCATCGGCCAGATACAAAGTTGCAAAGATACTCGTGCGAGTCCGCGTAAGAGAGTCAACAAGTAGGTCATCAAATTGTGGCACCAAAGTGTCCAGCTCGTTGGTTAATTTTTTGCTGGCGTACATGCCCCATACCCCTACCCCATTCCCCTCGGTTTTTTGTCGTTTTTTGGACCGTAATTAACCTGAGGCACGCAATGGTTTTGAAAATAAAGGGCCGTGTCCAAGAGCTGCTGGCCAGCTAATTTTATTTCAGGCGCGCTGTCATAAATAGTTTCTTAAGGGTTTCCTCTGTTGTTCGGAGGAATCTGCGGCTGACTGCCTGCTGCTGCTGGTTATCGCATCAATCTCTGGTCGGAAATCTTACTCATTGGCCAACTGGTTTTCACCCAAATTACACGCACAATTGCCCAACCAGAAAGGGCCCTTAACCAGAAATTTTGCACTCGCCGGTAATCGAAACTAACTCCCGATATTTGTAATACAATTGTTTGTTTAAAAGTTCAGTTTTCAACGCCCCTGCAGGCGGATTTGGTTGCATGGCCCGGACTGGGAGCGATTGGGCAACAGTTTGGTTAGCACTTCGCATGCCGAGATCTTATTATTTAACACGTCCGTCATAAAAGTTTTCTTTTTTGTTGACTGATCCAGAAACCGCAGACACACATGCAGCTGTAATTTGTGAGTCCGGAAAATGTGTGTTGCAATGAGTGGCAAGTGGCTAACCACCACTAACTTGTGGTTTTCCACAAGCTCCACAATGAATGTGGATCATAGGGCATCTTTTTTCAAAGACAAGGTTAGAATGGCAGTGAATTGAAAACCTGATCCCCACAGCTTGGCCAAATCCCCAAAATAACTACAATCTGCAGAGCAATCTGCGATGAGCCATCAAGCCAGCTTATGGCCTTTTCAATTAAGCCATTTGCGTGCAATTTGGCCAACAAATGCCTCGTTGAGTTCGCCAGCGTTTTATAATAATTTATTTTCTTTACATAACCTCCAACCTTAGCCGCAAACGTACCGCAAAGCTCCTTTCCTGCCCACCACCCCAACCCACCAATTTCCTCATTAATGTCAATCAATGGAATAATCCGTTATATATTAACACAAACTTTTGCTTTTTGATTAGCAATGGGACTTTCGGTTTCATTTGGCCAACATATCTCGTCTCATATGTGGTATACTTCGTGTCTAGATCAAATCACGACACAGAGACCCACTGCTGTGGAGCGCCAGCAGTAGAAAAATTAGCAGAAAGATCTTAAACTACAGAGCCAACAATAGCGCGCCAACAGCCGACAAATTTCAGCTGTTTGGCTTTACACTTGAAATAAATATTTACATGATTTTATTAGCTGGTTTCTGTGCAGTATCTTACACTTGTATCTAGAGATTTGAAGAGGAATTGTGACTAGGGCAGAGTTTTTAGCAGGAATGTATTTTGGAGAAGGAAAAATCTACAGTAGGTGATAATAGTAGGTGGAATATTTCTTATACATATTCTCTATAAGGTATTATTTTTGGTAATATAAGGTAATATCAATTTGATATTATCAAACCATTTTATTTTTATGTTATGATTAAATTCAATGATTTTGTTTAATTGTTTGCAAAACTATTTTTAAACTTGCTTAATATTCATTGATTGTTTGTATACTATGTATACTTAGTAAACACGCACACTACGCCAAGTGTTTCGTCACCTAAGTTGATTGCCGTATAGATATAGAGATTATGGTTATAACCAAAATATGAACTAGCCCAGAACTTTTTAATAAGCCTAACATAAAATGGTGGAAAGCAAAGGAGGTCAAGATAGTGGCCATAAGTAGGTTTTACTTTTAAGTAGATATTATTTATGTTAATTGTTTTTCCTAATTGTTTTTAAACTGTTATTTAATTTGAAGCGGATTACCCCTGAATCTTTTTCATTCTCCGACTACATGCATAAATTAGCCTATTCGCACACTTTGTTGAGTATTTCGTCACCTACGTGGACTGCCTCCCACAGTGATCAGGGGTTATAACTCCCTTATAAACTACGAAAAAAAATTAAATATTATATCTGAAAGAAACTAGAGATGCTCTATAAAATACTTCAAAAGAATTATAAATTTTATTATTTAAGTAATGTTTTATGTTTGTTAAAACAATCAATCAATGTTTTGAAAAAACATTAATTTGTTATAAAAACAACACGATTTGGTACAGACAGATCTAGTACAAGTATCCCTGTTTGTCAATCAATACCTCCACCATTTTACATTTTTCTCATCAAATCGCAACGAAAGCAGATCTATTTTTCTCTCAGTGTACACGTGTGGTGTATAAGTAGAGTAAGAAGCCCGGCGATCGCGTTTAGTGCGTCGCGGTTGGTCTACGAGACAGCAGCTTTACAGAGCTCCAGAGCTCGCCAGTTCCATAGCTTTCGGTTTCTGTTTCGCTTGGAGGCAACACCAGCAGTTGCCGCAACAACAACAACAACAACTAAAACAATACGAAAACAGCCCACAACGCTCCGCGTTGCGTGACAAAAGATTTTGCGAATCTCCGACCACGAAATCCGTGCAACGACAGCCAGTGAGTGTGCGAGTGAGTGTTTCGGTGGGAAATTGGCCCAAACACAATAGAAATCCAAAATGCCCAACAAAAGGCATCCAAAGCGGTTTTAATTGTGCACAAAAGATCGGCTTGAAAGTCGGCATGAAAGAAAAGCAAGACCGCGAATAAATTAAAGCCAAAACTAAATCGCCAGCAAGTTGATTGAAACTCTCCAGAAAACCCGGTGTGGCAGGCCGAGGAAAACCCAATCGGAAAAAATAGTTTAAAAAAAAGGGGGGAAAAACAAACGTCTAAGTGAGGTTTTGAAGACAATTTGGGCGGGGCAGGTAAACTAGTTGCGCCCCAAAAACGTCATTCAGTTAACACGGCTGTCAAAGAGGTGGCCTGTTGGCCAAAAGTGTGAAAGGCAAAATTTTCGAATGATTTAAATGCTTTTCGAAAAAATCAATATTTGTTCGAAAGGCTTTGAGAGTTTTCCAAAGACCCTAAGTACTTATGGCTTTTAAATTTTCATTTAAAGATTCATTTTAAAACTCGCTTTACTTATTTTTAGCCAAGTTACGAGTTAAACTAGTTACGACTAACTAGTGAGCTGCATTTCAAAAACACCTGTCAAAGAAAGTCGCTGATGGCAGCTAAAAAAGGAAATTAAAAATGCCATTCAAGTGAAACTGAAACAAGTGGTATTTGGTAATTGAATAGTTTTATTTAAGAAAGGCATAATTATGCAGAAACTGTGACTCGCCTCTGCGAAATCCCATTTAAAATATGGATTGATTTGCAAATTCCGAAGCAGGGCAGGCACACCTTGTTCGGAGGGCCGATAAAAGCAAAGATTTGGCCAAAATTATGACATAACGCGGCACGACGAGATTTGTGTTGTCGGCCAACTGTTTGGGCCTTCCGTTGCTGTTCATTTAGCAGCCAAATGCTAATAGAACCCGCCTGAAACTCAATTTCAGTTTCAATTTCGCATCCAGTCGAGTGTGAAGGCAGCCAGCCAGGCCCCTCTTAGTCTCGGTCTTGGCCCATTAGGGCCTGGTTGGCTTCTATTTTGAACAATGGCCATAAAAGTCAACGACAAGTGGCTGCTTGACATTTCTGCAGCATTACTCGCAGGCGCTAGGATTATCACTCAAGTTCATTATAACCGACTTGCGATAAAGCCGCGCTCGCATCCGCCACAAGGATAGTTCTGTTTTCCTTTTCACTTTTCCATTTTCTTATTTTCCCCAGTCACTGTAGTGGGGCTCCTTAAAAAGCTCAAGGTCGCCGCTTTAGCGACAAGGGCAAGGATAAGCTCCTCGGCTGTGCTCTGGCATTGTAGCCAGAGTGTACACAAAAAACAAGCAGCAGGCTCTGTATGTAGCAGCGATGTATGCCCAGATTTCTGTTCCATCAAATTTTCGGCATTTAAATTATATTGTCCTTGGGGAGCAGGCGCACAAGCATCCCAAGGAGTCGCCAGAGTGCCATTGTTCGGTGGCGTACGCGGCGTATGAGCAATCTCCCCCCAGTGGCTGGGCCTGCGGGAGCTGGAATGCTCATATTGTGCGTGCGTCTTGGTCTGAGGAATGGTCTGGGGGGAGAAAGCCATTCAATCAAGGGAGAAGTTATTCCATCCTGCCTTTTGATATTGGTTTTAATATTGAGTTTTTGGCTCAAAGGTTGGCCCTGCTTGGCATTCCTCCAGTAATGTCTTGTTAGAAACTAAACTCCAATGTGTTTAGTTTAATAGTTTTTCAATAAGCTGGCAAGCTGTTGGCCTTACGAGGGCTCACTTGGCCATCACTGGGGCTACTTCGATAACTCTTCAATTTGTGTTTCTTTGTTTGGATTCGCGTTTTACGAGTGCGACGAGTACTTGTATTGTAACTCCGACTCGATTATCGACTGGCGGGATGGATCATAAAATGGAACGAGCAAGGCCCCAAACCCCACTGCCCTCGAGGGCAGCCAGAGACAATAGTCGCTGGTGTTTGCTCGGCTTTTGTTTTGCAAACTAACTCGAACTAAGTGCTGTTTCTCGTGGGAGGGCGCCGAGTTGAAAGGAAAAACAATGCGGCAGATCCCAGCGGCAGATCAATAAATGTGAATAATATTTGCACTCCAAGCAAACACCTTTCAGCAATTCCATGCCGGCATAACCGAGTTAGTGGCCCATCCTGCGGCCATACACATGTATTGATTGATTTGTCCCTCCGGGCGGGCCAACTTCCAATTGCATTAAAAGTTCTGACCAGATTCAGGGGCCGGGCAACTTTTACATAATACTTGGACTGAGAGCCTCGCTTTTCCTCCCCAGCTCCCAGCAGAACCGACTCGGAACTCAGAAGATGTCGTCGGGATTACGCAAAACCTCCATGGCGCTGATGAGACGCTCCACTTACTCGTCGGCCCCCAGCTCTGCCGCCATCTTGCCTCACGGCGGGGCGGGGGGTGCCGGGCCGGTGGTCTCGCCGCCCACCAGCGGAGTGGGCGTGGCCACGGAAATTGAAAAATCAATTGCAAGGCAGCGACTGCGGCAGGAAGAGCCGGCAAATATGAAGAAATTAAATGTCAGGTTAGTGATTTTCCCACACCCCCCTCCCAAAGGCACTGAGAAAAAATAATGCTCTTATATTAATATTTTATAATAATACTAAAATTAAAACCTTTGCCTACTCTTTAACTCAATTTCTTTCTTGAATTTCTAAGATTTTTAATTAAAATCTCCTACTTATTTTTTTCTCTGCATCATTTTCACTAATTGGCAGCCAACAAGCCGTGAAAGCAGCTGCCACACAAACAACAACAACAACACTGAGTGCCACTGCAGTGGCAGCCACAACAACCACTTGCACCTCGACGACTGCAGTGCGTCCTTACTCGGAGGTTCCCGGTCCATATCCTCTGCCGCTGATTGGCAACTCCTGGCGCTTCGCCCCACTAATTGGTAAGAGATTCCCATTCCTCTGGACGTAGTCCTGGTCACTCAATAGCCTTCCTCCGCAGGACAGTATAAAATTAGCGATTTGGACAAGGTTATGAACGAGCTGCACGTCAACTACGGCAAGATGGCCAAGGTGGGGGGCCTCATCGGGCATCCGGACCTGCTGTTCGTCTTCGACGGTGACGAGATCCGCAACATATTCAAGAAGGAGGAGACCATGCCCCATCGGTAAGTCTAATTCAGCCAGTCTTTCATAAGGACTTTATCATAAGGGCTCAAGTATTTATTAAAAATATTGCGTATACGACACGAGTTCTGAATAGGTTGCATGTTGGGACATAAGTAAGGCTTCTTGTTGTTTAAATAAATTCCGAATAATTGATTGCATTTTTTTGCAAAATTTCTAATAATTTGTTTGTTACCGTCATTGGAATGCTTAGTATTTCAAAGTATTATAAGTATATTCGGAGTATTGCGAGTGAATTGTAGTAATAGTAGTAGTACTACTTCTGGTTCAGAGAGTATTTGTTCAGAGTATTTTCAGTACATTTTAAAGTATTTGTATTTGAAATTAAATTTTGCTAAAAAAAGCTTTATAATATTTCAATTTTTGCCCTTCTTGCACTCTAACAGGCCTTCCATAAGCTCGGTCTTATATTTATTAAAAATATTACGCATACGACAAGAGTTCCGAATTTTCTAGATGTTGGGTCATAAAATATTACAATTTTCCTATATTTTAAAGAATTTTGGAACAATTTGGAGAAAACTTCTTGCAAAAGTTTTAATAACTTGTTACCTTTCTAAGGATATTACCATTCTTCTAGAACTTCTTTTTTAAGTGCATATTACGTATACGACATGTTTTCTGAATTGTCTACGTTTGAACAAGAAATATTTCACATCTTTTATATATGTATTTAAGACATTTTGGAGTAATTTGTTGAACTGCATAAATATGTACAATGTAAAATACCTAAATACCATTTCAAAAATACATAAACACCCTTCCAAAACAAGGAAACAAGTACTCTATCGTTATAATACAACCCCTGGCTCATTAAACCCTCAAATTTTGGGCAAACAAGCCCTGTGATAGACTAGAGACACTTAAAAATAATCCCAAATGCCGTCGTTTCTTATGCAACTGCGTTAACTTGGTAATTTACTAGTCATTGAAGGCCTAAACGTGTTCATTAAATCCACTTTGAAGCCATCTGAGTGCCCGAGTTGTGCTTGGATGCACTTGGTCTGCACTGGCAGTAGCTCCTCGCACATATACACACAATATCCGCAGCGAATCAGTCATGCATGGATACATCCACCCACGGTCCTGGCCACCTCCTCCTCCTCCTCCCCTGGCATGCACGATTGCAGTGCAATTCCGGTTTATTTATGCGCATATTGAACTCGACCCGTAAATTAAATTATTAACCATCGAAGGCAGCGACTGGCGATGCTGGCATCGAGTGGGGATTTGTAGTGAAAATGTGTGAAAATATTGTGACAGATTCCTGTCAGGACTCGGATCCACCGCCATTTCTAATTAAAATTCTGAATAAATAATCCTTTACGGCCTTAATTAAATTTCTGCATAGATAACTAAATTATTCAACTGAATAGAGATACGTTTTTTGCCATTAAACCGATATTAGTGGAAACTTTCACTTCTTCGAGGGCCTCTCATAGGCCTAGCAACCAGAGATCCATCCGATACGATTCGAAAACAAGACAGTCCGATCTATTCAGCGTCTGACAAGCGGGGAGTATTTTTATTTTGGTTTTTGCATCACAGAAATAAATAAAATCGAGAAACGAGAAATAAAATAGGCAAACAAAACGAAAGTCACACAGATCTCGGATCTCGGTGTTCATAACTTTTATAAGCTTTCTTTTCGCCGCCTTTCCCCATCCCAGAGCCATGGCCATGAACCAAATTTAACAAGTTACGTTTCCAGTACCAGGGCTCAGACTTTGGCAAAAAAACAAAGCCAAACACTCGTTGTTTGTGTTTGGCGAACACATTTGGCAAGTCATCATTAAAACGACTGAAAAGAATCGCTAATAGATTGGCTATGAGACAACATTAACGTAATGTTGGCCCAGTCAGTAAGTCAGTCAGTCGTTCCGCCCTTAAACAGATTGATGAATGAACGAAGCGAGGCAGTGTCAAGACTGACAGACTGACCGACTGCCCAACTCGCCTGCTGATTGATGAAGATATCTTGGCCGAAAGACCGAGCAAGTCTGGCCAAAATATGCCCGAGGCGTTGGCTTTCTGGCTGTTTACGAGGCCCATAAAAAGCGCCGAGAAATGTCTCCGGCGTGTGGGAAAAACTAATCCAGTTGGTGGTGGGGGACAGCAGTGGGGTTAGGCCAGAGATCGGATCGTGACCATCTTGGCCCACTTGGAGAGTTTCGGACAAGTTTCTAGACGGTTTCCAATGACGTCAGTGGAGCAAAAAGGTCGGAATTTGGAATCTATTTTTGGAAATACTAATTAAAGATATTCAAGTTATTTAAATAAAATGCAGTTTCATCCACAACTCCAAGGTCAATGCTGTGACCAAACGAATGCATTTGAAGATCTCCGAAAAGTGAATAAATTACCAAACAAGTTGGGACTTTAAGGGAACTCCTCCTTTGGAGCTGGTAAGAGTTAGAATCTCCAAGGTGTGGCAGGTATTTTGCATAATTGTGCGAAAATATTAAGACATTTATTTACCAAAGCAAATAGAGTTTCAAGGTGGCATTTAAAAATTAACAATAAGATTCTAGTTAGTTAACTGCCTCTGAGAAGCTATGCCTCTGTGTGGCAGCCGCTTTCTGTGACATGGCTGGAGGAGGACTGCCTGAAACAAAAGCCAATAAATACGCTTCTTCTATTTATTCTGTGACATGCGAGTAGACAAGTATAATGCAAATACCAGTTTGTTTGTATTATGTGGGGACCGACTGCCTAACTGAATGCCTGAGTGGCGAGGGGAAAATATTAAGAGAAATCGCCTCATATTTAGAGTGTGTGTGGCTCTGGGCTTTGGGTTTTGGGCTTTGAAGTTGGGCTTGATGTCGTTGTCGCCGGTTTGTCTGCACGCGAGGGCAAGCGACCTCAAAAGGGGGGCAAGGTGGAAGGGATTCGGGGGTTTTTGGCCAACTCAGGCCACCTCTAGGCAGAGAAAAAGTCTTGGCCAAAATAGCCAAACTACATTATAAGATATTCCATCTTTAAGGTTTAAGGGAGACAAGTGCCTCCTTTCTTTCAAAGAAATGAAATTAAAAACATGCCTTAATTTTATTTTCAATTAAATTATTTATTTATTTCTCTCTGTGCAATAATTTAATTGAAACCCTTCACCCTCGTGCCTCTCTGTTTGCTCTTCAAACCGGGCAGGCCGTCGATGCCCTCCCTGCGCCACTACAAGGGCGACCTGCGACGCGACTTCTTCGGCGACGTGGCCGGCCTAATTGGCGTGTAAGTAATGTCCTTATATAACGGATATTATGGAGGCATGCACAGCACACAGTATACATATTTGTCCTTCCCCCAGACACGGTCCCAAGTGGGAGGCCTTCAGACAGGAGGTGCAGCACATCCTGCTGCAGCCGCAAACAGCCAAGAAGTACATTCCGCCGCTGAACGACATTGCCAGCGAATTTATGGGCCGGTAAGTTGGAGCATCTAAGCGGGTTATGCAATCTGAACTGTGTACTATAGATGCATTTATCCATCTGCAGTATTGAGCTGATGCGCAACGAAAAGGACGAGCTGCCAGATAATTTCCTGCACGAGCTCTACAAATGGGCCTTGGAATGTGAGTCGGGTTGGGGTGGGGGCAAGTGCCAGTGCCAGTCACTTTGCTTGACAATTTCCATTATTGAGTCGGAGACTGTGACATTGGGACTTATTAGCCTTTTGAATCTCCAATAATTGCAGCTGTGGGCCGCGTTTCCCTGGACACCAGGCTGGGCTGCCTTTCGCCGGAGGGCAGCGAGGAGGCCCAGCAGATCATCGAGGCCATCAACACGTTCTTCTGGGCCGTTCCAGAGCTGGAGCTGCGAATGCCCCTGTGGCGCTTCTATCCCACCAAGGCCTACCGCAGCTTCGTCAAGGCCCTGGATCAGTTCACAGCGTGAGTCCCTGGATTGAGATTCTCAAGACTGTATAATTATGACCCATTATTCCCGCAGCATTTGCATGAAGAATATTGGCAAGACCATGGACAAGGCTGAGGCCGACGAGGCCAGTGGCTTGTCCAAATCCGAGGCGGACATATCCATCGTGGAGAGGATTGTCCGCAAGACCGGCAACCGCAAGTTGGCCGCCATCTTGGCCCTGGACCTGTTTCTGGTGGGAGTCGATACGGTAGCTGTCAATATTTTATATTTTTTTCTGTTTTTTGAGTAACTTTGTAATTCCTTTCCACTTAGACATCCGTGGCGGCCTCCTCCACCATCTACCAGCTGGCCAAGAACCCCGACAAGCAGCAGAAGCTCCTGGAGGAGCTCAAGAAGGTGTTTCCCAGCCGCGAGGCCGAGATCAACCAGAGTGTCCTGGAGCAGATGCCCTTCCTGCGAGCCTGCGTCAAGGAGACCCTTCGGTGAGCCCGGCACTCTCTTTGATTGGCGACCCTTTTGTATTTAATGAGTGCCCCTCTCCCCCTCCTCCCCCTGTGTTGACCCTTGTTTCAGGATGCGACCTGTGGTGATTGCCAACGGGCGAAGCCTTCAGTCGGACGCTGTCATCAACGGCTACCACGTGCCCAAGGGCGTAAGTCTGTCGCACGGGAATGGGCGTGACCCGGGACTCGGTACCCGGTGCCCATTTCCCAGTACCTGGAACAGCCAATTTACGGTCATTTTTTTGCTTCTCCTTTCAGACTCATGTTATCTTCCCACACCTGGTGGTGTCAAACGATCCCGCATACTTCCCAGAACCCAAACGCTTTATGCCCGAGCGGTGGCTGAAGCAGACAAGTGCCACGGATGCCGGTGAGTTGGGGGACACTTGGAGAAAAATTGGCTTGAAACTACAGTTCTTAAATGATAAAATATTTGGGATTTTTAAAGAATTTACAGTGATTTTTATAGTTTGTAGTTATAGAGTATAGAAGTTTATAGAGCAGGGAGAAGAACTCATCACCGACCTCATAAAGTATCTTGTCGATATAGCCATGTCCGTCTGTCTGTCTATCAGTAACTATACAGATGACTATTTAGGGACTAGAAGCTACAGGCACAGGAATCTAAGCCATAAGATTTTGCAAAGTCTGTCCTCCAATAACTCAACACTCATATCAACACTACCTAGCTCAAAAAAAAAATCTTTTCGTAAGACATTCCGGATAGAAAAGTATTTTTTCTTAAATTTGGTATTCCTCTTTATTTTCAATCGTAATTTTGATCCAGAAATCCAGCAAAAATTCAGAATAGACCATTTAGAATAGAGTTAAAGGCTATTTTTTCCTCTTGCCTATTTGATTGTTCCAAAGGACCCAAAAGTATGCACCATTTTTAGAAAGAAAGTAAAAGAGAAGAGTACCGGGTATCAGGTTCCGGCTTTAAAACTTACTTAAACAATTTAACTTACTAACTTTAACTTACTTAAACAAATAACTTTAATTTTTTTCTGTGCACCCCACTCAGTGACTGCCTCATCCTCACCCACGTTTCCCTTTGCCTTTTCAGGTGGCTGCCCCCATGCCGGCCAGAAGATACACCCGTTTGTCAGTCTGCCCTTTGGCTTCGGGCGTCGCATGTGCGTGGGCCGGCGCTTCGCAGAAATAGAGTTGCACACGCTGCTGGCCAAGGTAACAGGAATTGGCAACAGAGGGCACAAGCCCCTGAACCCAAAACCAAAGCCCAATCCCACAATCCCCTGCTCCGCTGGGTACTTTACTAATTTAGAATGTTTCTCTTTTTTTGGAACAGATCTTCCGCAAGTACGAGGTCTCCTACGACGCCGAGGAGTTCTCGTACCGAGTCAACTCCACGTACATTCCACAGTCGCCGCTGAATTTCAGGCTGAAGCTCAGGGACGAGTAATCCGCCGGCAAGATGTGTGTATAATTTCACCAGAGGGACTCGAGACTCGGGACTCGGGACTCAGTCCTCAGCGCTGAGAGCTCCAAGCTGCAGCGACACACGGCGGATGTGTGATATTTATAGTCAGAGCCCAGCTGCCGGTTCTGCTGCGATGTTTCTCTTTTTAATTAAGCAAATGTACCCAGAAGCAGAGCAGCCCGGCAGCGGAGCACTAGCCACTGAATAATCGTGTATATTCCTACTGTCCATGTGTATATAGCCCCATTATGTTATCCCATAGCTAGATGTAGGTGTTTTTCCCAAGAATAATTGTACCTAATAAAGCCCTGTTTGTTTGACTTGGTTTGGATTATCATTAATCATCAAAAGGCGGCTGGGCTTGGGGTCAGCAAGTGATGGCTAAGGTCAAGCGAACGCCAATCCTCGCATGATTAATTGCCTTTATGGAGGGTACCATTAGTTTGGCTGTAATTGTAGTCTACTCGCTCCTACTGCAGCATTTTTTTGAAGGAATGCATCTAAGTGGGCAGAGAATCCTTGCCTACTTTAGGCTTGAACTTGGCCCAAACAAATCGTAACCTTTATTATTCCATTTAATACAATCCTCCCCTGCTAACCACTTGTTTGCCAACTCATCCAAACAACACTATTTAAACTAATTCACATCCATTCGCACATCATCTGTCTGTCATCTGAATCACATCGCACTTCGTTCGCCGGATACTCGGATATGCTGAAAGATACTCGGATTGTACTCACTATTTAGCGGAATCGTTCAGTTGGTATTCGTTGCTGCGCGAGAAGCACTCCTGGACACCGGCATCCTGCCAAAGTCGTTTCATGGCGGCCAGCAGCTCCTCCGAGAAGGGCTCGGTGTCGTGCATTCGCTGGCACACGTCGAACACCATCTTGGCATCGCTCTGCGGATAGACGGGGAGTTGGATGAGTTTGAGGTTCAAATGGGCATAAAATTCAGGTTGTTACACAGAGAGAAAGGGATTCCTTTTTAGGTTTTTTTTTTTTTGATTTCATAAGAGTCTATTGTCATTATGAGGTTCATAATTAAAACCATGAAATAATCATTAATTGATGAAATAATCTGGTGTTTCATTTTATTGACGAAAAATAATAATTATAATTATGAATAATTATTATAATGATCTCTCAAGAAGAAAATGGTACACTTAAGGGTCTTTTATAAATACTATAAGTTAATGGTAATATGTACTTTGGCTATAGGTATTAATAATGGACATATAAATAATAATCTTTATTTGCAATATTTATTTTTAAAGTTTGTTAGAAAGAGTTTCATTTCAATAAGCTATTTGATTAATGAATATTGGTCTTAAATTATATTTTTTATAAAACATATGGTTTTGGTTTCAGAAAACACATCATGTTGGTTCTTTAGATAAAGTTTTTAAGTCATGTTTTTTAAGGAAAGTGTATAAGAAATATGTAGCAAATAAGCTTCTAATCAGTACTTTCAAAGTCATGTAGTTGATTACTCATTTCTTACTCAGGGATTTAAATAACTAGGAATTAAAGACTGATTTAAAGATTTCAAGAAGAAGATTTTAGAAATGAAATTTCTGAAAAATGAATAAATATATTAATATTTGTTTCAATTTATTTCAACTTTGCTTTAACTTGAATTAGCTATGAAGATTGGTATATTTCGGTATCTTAGAAGAAAATGAACAAAGAAGGACTAGTTTTTCAACTTTAAGTAAGTAATTCCCATTTACTGTAAATCCTTAAAATATAAATATTATTTTCATCTATTTTTCTTCAAGAAAAAGGTTTCTACCATGGCCTGTACTATCCCTAACAATCTCGCTGTTCTCTAAATGAAAAATTAAAAAAAAAATCAACTCAAAACCAAGTAGGAATCCCCTGATATCGCACTGTGTATCAGACTGAATGGAGCTCTCATTGGGGCTTACCTCCCGCTCGTTATTGCTGTACTGAATACTTAGGTTTGGCATCGCGCGCAGTATTGCAACTAATGATTGTATTGTGTTGCTGTAGACAACCGGTCGATATTGTTTAAAGTCCTCCGCAGTGAAGCCGCTCTCGTGAATGATTTTCATCTGTTTGACTATTGTGCTCTTGCCCGATTCACCGGCACCTAGAAGGGGATAACAGAAAAGTTAGTGACGCGTATAGATCTGGTCTGGTTTGGTTATTTGGTTATCTGGGATGGGAGAACATGGACATCATGGACAGAAGAGCCCGAGGGGTCGCAAATATTTATGCTGCGATATGTGGGTGTAGTAGTGGCCGAGCACTAAATGTCTGTGCTTTGTATTTCTCAAGTAGAGCTTAATGGCCTTTGAACACAGCCCCGCCCAGGCCCATCATCGTCGGCATTACGATAATCATCCCATCGCCGTCCCAGCACCATCGTCGGTGCATCATCATCTCGAGATGCCGTCGGCCAAAAGAAATGAGAAACTCAGAGCCCAAGAGGCCGTGGCAGGGGGGCCACTAGAAAAGGCAAACAAAGGATTAATTGTTCGGCCCTGGTCAGCGGGTGTCTCCTGGCCCAGCCCCTCGATGACCCCGCCCCGAGTCCTGCTGCAGTTTCAGCAGGATTTCCATCCAATTGAATGCAATTTGTTAATTGAGCGACTTCCGAGTGGAAAATTGCTAGTCTCAGGCATCCTCGAAGGCTGGCGATATAGAATTGCTAATAATTGATGAATGGAAATGGCATTCACCTGCTTAGCCAGTCCATTACAGCTGCAATGACTTAATAGACGGGCGATAGAGGTAAACAAATGGGTTCCCGAGAAGCCACACTGTGTCATGGCATCCAGGGTGAAAGTTCTGGAAACTCTTGAAGGAGAAGCTACTGTTTACACTCCCAATGTAATCATTGAATCATCCTCCAGTCCCTGGAAGACATTAAATCCTCAAAGAGTTCATTGTCCACCACTTGAGGTGCTACTGAGTGGAAAAGGAAAACTCCACCCAGAATCCTATACAGAAATGTTTAGATTGCCCCGAAAACTCAAGAGGAGCAGTGATCGGGGGGCACCTGAGATTAATGTTTTGTTTGTGTGGAAATCGAAGGAAAAGTGCTTAAATTTAATGTCTTCACGGATTGCAGGAAAACAATAGATACACAGCCACAGAGTACACGGGTATACGTAGTTGGTAGAACGTGTTGCTCTGATTATTATTATGAATTCTTGGATGCGCACAGCACTCTTCTGAAAAGCAACGAAAAAAAGTACAATTTTTTTAAATAAACATTTCCAGCACACTCGAACCCACACGGCCGCGCAATTCAAACACGAGCAGTGGGTGTTGCCCGAGTAGCAGCCGTGGAAAAAAATTAACATTTTTATACCGAAATACACGCAAAACTGTCAGAAATTGAAATCTGAACAGAAATCTCTCCCCTTGCCAAACATTTTCGGGCCAGCAAAGAGGAAATTAAATGAAATACCCGGAATGTAAACAGTTTACACAGAGGCGGGTGCTCGGGGGGCCGTACAGTAGGAGGCACATGCACCGCCAGCCGGAGATGAGAGCCCAAAATATGAAATTTCTCATTTAGTAAACGGAAAAAGTACAAATTCCGACTGAATGCAGTGATTAACAGGCCAAATTTGGGCAGTAGGTACATCTGTAGGGAGTGTATCAGCCCCAGACATGACTTCCATCTACCATCCATGACAGGCATGTTTATTGTGTCTGCTTATCAGAACTGGAATCCAATTGCAATTACAATCAACCACCCACCCACCGCACACTAATATTCAACCCACTGACCTTGAACTTTGCCGTCTGCTGCAAAAAATATTATTCTGATTATTAAATTTATGGCCATTTGCATTCGCACTTAGCCCTCTTGGAGAGAGCACTGCGCCAAGCGGGCTATTCTTGGCGAGGAGGGTCTACAAACCAAATGCCATTAGGTAATCAATGGCTGAATGATTCATGATTTTAATCAGGATAGTAGCTATAACCCGTTTCGATTGGATACGATTGTTGTGATAAGTTCGGTTACAGTTTAGTTTAGAACTTGAACTACTTTTTAAGGTGATTATAAGTGCGGTTTAGAAGTGGTTTAGACTTTAGAGAGTTTGGAATCCAACCATTTCCTAAAGGTCTTAAATCACTGCCTTCCTCTTTCAAGTGACGTAAGCCTAGAGCACGATTTGTTTATTTTATATTTATTTTTACTTTAATAAACAAATAAAAAACCAATATAAGATCCGAATAAAACAGTTTAAAAGGTTCTACAACCGGCAGCAAGCTCTAAAAAAAATGGCCTTTTCGTGGCTCGAAGGAACAAAATAGAAAGGATTCCCAACCACCACAAATAGCATCGGTCAAATGCCAAGGCTGCAGCTGACAGGAACTAATTCACTCGATGGCGATAAGGGAGAATGTGCCGCCACCACCCCTGACATCTATGCCGGGCATTAATGAGCATTAATTCGGACCGGGCAGCCGCTAAGTATGCTACACTAATTTTAGCAGAGGCTCGAATTAAATATTTATGGCCACCGGGCCACCGTTTTACGGGCCTACTGCGGCTCCAACTCCGAAGCGAACTCACCCAACAGCAGGAGCTTGATGTCCTTTGCCGCCTGTATGCCGTCCTCCTTGAGATTGCGCTCGATGAGGCGACTCCGGGCGGCTGCGGCTCGCTCCTCGGCAGACTGTGCGCAGCCCATGGTGCGTATTGCCTCGACGCAAAACGTTTTGAAGGTCGTTTGGTATCGGCCAACTCAATGGCCGACTACGTTGCCAGCGAAGAAAAACGAAAACAGTATAACGGGCTAACAGGATAACAGGTGCTGCACCGCGTTCCGTAGGGACAAATCAGGGGGCTTAACTTAAATCGAGGTATCCGAGGGTATCACTTATCCAGCACTTGGCCTCTTGATTCACAATCAGTTTTTATTGGATCTCTTGCTTTGGTTCTTCAGGGATTTGCTTTTAAAGGATATTGTTTACTTTTTCTTAATTTTGAAATATTTTTTTAACTGAAAAACCGTATGAGAGTAAGCCACAAAATCGATTTTGTTTTTATTTGCGCATTTTGTTGATAAACATCTGGAGGATGCTGGAGGACCGCTGCCAGCCTTTTGACCGCTAACGGTAAAGTCCAACTGTAAACTGAAAAGTTCCGCGTGTCCGAGAGCGGGGAAATTCGTTACTCGTCGCTGGGAAATTTTGTTGTCTTTGCCCAACTGAAACGAACTGAAACGCTTCAGGGAAATGGGGAAAATGGAAAAGGGGGATTCGGGATTGGGGAAATGGAGAGAGAAAGAGAACGGGACGGAGAGATAGTAGAGAAATAGTAGAAAGAAGCGAGTGGAAGAGCTTTTCCACTCACAGTCGTGGAAAAAAAATGTAATTAAGGAGCTTGCACAAGATTCTTGTTTTTCATTAACCAAAATTCGTGGCAAGTCGTGGCAATGCAGCCCAAAATCCTTGGCCACAAACACACACATCAACACACAAACACTCACACTAACACCTGTGCATGTGCGGCCATAAACAAGGCGAAAAATCAATAAATTATGGCAATATACTCTTTTTTTTTGCCTTTTTGCGGGAACTCCAGCAGTTGGTGTTCGCGTTTATGGCATATATAGGTAATATCTGTGTGGATATATGATTAAGAGCTCTATTGTTTGCAACTCCCACTGGGGCGCCCCCTTTTTCGCTAGCTGTCTTACAAGTGGCCATAAACAAGAGAGCGCGAGGGGCACGAAAGACAGCGGAGTAGCAGAGTAGGGAAGAGCTGGAAAATGGGCACATGCTGACGCAAAAAAGCAGCCAAAAGGAGGCGATTGTTGTTTTAGCCAAATAAGAAAAGCACAAACAAAACTTTTCTTTTGTACACTTTTCGGAGGGAGGGGGGGCCTATTTGTTTTTGTTGCTTCAGTTGTTGTTGTTGTTGCTGGCAGTGTATATTCCAGCACGCTAAATGATTCATGCGTAGTCCGTAAAAATGAAAATAGAATAGAATTTTCATGTTAATGATGCGCCTCCAGATACTTTTCGTTCATCAACAAATGGCAAATGATTTTCACAGCAATTTTCTACATTTTACAGAAAATCTTTTTCACACACAGACTGCTACGTTTTCGATTGGCGTCACTAAACTGTAATTAAGCGATTATTTGCATTTTGCAACACCGATTCGGTGCGAGTTGGCTGAAGAACTAACGGAACTCGACTGAACTACCGTTTGCCTGGATGTTCTCGAAGCAGTTTCTCTCTAGAACGGAGCCGCCCAAAACGCACCACGCACACCACGGAAGCTTTCGCCACCAGTGGCGTAGACTTTGGGGGTTAAACGCTTTCCATCGCCATGGCACCTCTCGTCACCTGCCGCAGGGGGTGGCTGGAAAAAACCCCCCGCCCGAATCCTTCGACAACGCCACTGTTTTCAGTACACACACATTCCTCGGTGCTCGACGAAAAGCTCTCCAGGAAAAAAGAGAGCCAGCGGGAGTGCAGAGAGTGGGAGCATGCGCACGCGCCACTGGAAAGTTCAAAAGTCAGAGAGGGACGACGAGCCTGCGCAGGCACTGGGCGAGTGGCAGTGAGACAAGGACAAACGAATCGGCGAGTGCGCCCACGCGGGGCCTCACTCTCCCCACTTCCCAGCTGCTTTCCTTTTGCTTTCTTTTCGCCCCTTTTTGAGGCAACTTAAAGTGGCTTTGCAGTTTAAATGGAGACTCCCATGCGCTCCCCCCGCGCACACAATTAAGTCAGCGGCTTTAGAACTTTGCCACGTTTATGGGCCAAGCCAGAGCACATTAGCACAAAACAGTTGGCCAGCAGCAGCGAGAGCAGGATCGTTCTAACCCCTTCCCCCTGCACACGGACTCCCGCCATTCAAAGCCATCGCCATCGTTCACGTAACGGGACAGCGGAAAATGGGGGGAACGGCCATAAGATAAAACAATCGCATTGATTCGATTGCCAGGATTCCGTCAGTGGGGCTCTGATTGACTCTTCATCCATCCGCAGGACTCGATTGGTTATGGCCAATGGCCAAATCAATTAACGGTTCCATTGAGCCTCAATTACAGATGCCGTGGTTGTAATCACGGTAATAGTTCTCATTTATTATATGAGGTAATGGAACTAGTTCCAGAGGAGTCAGTCTTGAGGACTTCCATTATAGTTCATTGTACGGTATATTGAAATGTCCCGTTTGCTTGTTTTATAAATAAAGCCCTAATAGATTACATCCTGACACAGACATGGGCCAGGCCGTCAGGAGTTCTATGCAAACGAGGGTTTTCTGAGAAATCTCGCCGTTTTCCTATTTCCAGCCATAATTACCGTTGCAAGAAAGGGTTCACATCGGAACGGTAATTGGCCTTCCAACGAGCGAATGGCGTGCCTGTTCTAGAGTGAATTAAACACTGTATTACAGTGAAATCCATAAATAGGTGACATTCCACATTTTCATCATTTTGTTTGACGGCCTTTGGACACAATTTCGAATGCGAAAGGGGTACCCGGACCCGTACCCGGACCCCAACCCGACCCCTAACGAGCTTTATTAAATTATCGCTGTGCGAATATGGACCAGGTCCCAGGTCTCCGGTCCAGACCGAAAACAAAAACCTGAAAACAATGAATGAGGCAATGAAATTATTGAATGAATTGGGAGCCATCAGCCATCACGAAGAGGGGCCCCAGCTCCCAGCTCCCACCTCCCAACCACAAAACCGCATTCAACGACAAACGGCAAACAAATTGACTTTTTTTTTTTTTTATCACGCGAACTCTTCGCTCTTTGAATGACAGACAGCGGCAAAGTGGAGCACTTGTGCACTTGTCGCCCTCCTGAAACAATCTGCACCTCATGCCTCCCGGTTCTCCGGTTCTCCCTACAGCCGGGTGCCTGTCTATCCGTCCGTCCATTGCCATTTGGCGTGCCGTTTTACGTTTTCGTTGTACGGGTTGCACAGGTCGCGGCCCGGCCCTCTCGCCACTTGGACGACATTTGACTCTGCTCAATTAAGTTCGATTTGTGCTGTGTTTGGCATCTTTTATGGTTCGCTTAACGAGCATGTTTATTTCCCCGGCAATTGCCTCTCGAATCTCGAGACTCGAGAATCCAAAGGATTGCGATCTCCGAGAAGCGGGTCTGACCTTCCAGGCTTTGTTTCAGAAAATAGTTTCGGTTTCTAGACATTTTGGGTTGTAATCTAAGGATTTTGAGCGACTTATAAGATACATTATCCAAATAGTTGGAGGTATTAGATCTTAAATCTAGAGATATTGAGCTTTGAAATCGGCCTCTTTTAAGAGCTTAAGTTTCATTAACAAACTTTATACTAACACACTTTTTCTAGTAATTAATAAAAAAAAAGTTAAACATATAGTTAAAACACTTATTTTGAAAGATATATATTTAATGATAGATTTAGTAAATTTTTGGGAATACACATTTCGAAGTCTGCCAAATTGGAATCATTTCTACGGGAAATAAGATACTTTAACTTTGAAAGCATATCTTCGAGTAGTATAATCGAAAACCTATTTTAAATAAAAAAATCGTATTAAGTAAAAACCTTAAATCTGTATTTGGAGAAAAGAAACAAAGAGGGTATAAAACTTTTGTATCTTTCGCAGACCTTCTCAATAAAAAATACAGAAATCGGCCTTATTCGCAAATATTAGTTTTTAAGTAGCTTAATTAAAAAAAATGTATATATTCTCTCTTATGTTCTATATATATATTCTCTCTTATGTTCTATATATATATTCTCTCATTGTGTTTAAAAGGTCGGTTTAAAATTTTATCAAAATCGGTTAAGTAGTTTACGATAAATAGAATAGAAACAATCGAAATGAAACCGAAAAATGCCTTTAAAGGTTTTATAACAATACTTGTTTTTACGGAGAACTTATACTTATTATTCGGAGATAATACTCGGAATAACGTAACATTTGTGGCTATAATTCTAGAGATTATCTAAAAATTAACAAGGCAATCGAACATATTGATGATGATGTTAAACCATTAAATCTAATCGAATCCAATCTTATGAATATTAATCCAAATAGCAGATAAAAGCTTAGAATAAGCGATGCGATTGTCAATTAAGTGGTTGACAATCAAACTGAAATATAATTTTTATATTGGAATTTTTAATTTCAATCATTAAAAAAAGGTGTTATTTTTTAGTTTTAGGCTAAGGTTTTTAATTTTTAATTTCATCCATTAAAAAAGGTTTTATTTTTTAGAATTAGGCTCAAAGGCTCCTAAGAAATATTTTACATTAAAGATAAATCTTGCAAACTTGAAAAGTTCCGCGAATATGCTGACTTCCGCCACGTAACCAGCTGTAACCAGTCATATTTCAAACTTTTATTATCGGATTTTATATTTCAACTAAAAGAAGAGATATTTTTCTTACGCTCCTCAAGAAAGTTGCCCGTTGTGATAGTTTTCCTATCAATTTTCCCGATCGCCCCCAAGTGCCCTGCAAAACAGGCAAACAATCTGGAAAATGGGAAAACCAACAATCGAGCCTCGAACACTTCCTCAATAACCTCACGGCTGGGAAAGAATGCTTCAAGTGGTTCAGTTTTCTTCAAACTTCCGCCAGGAGGCGCCACTCAACGGCGGCACGGAATTGTTGCGATGTTGCAACTTGCCACCGCCCTGCAACACCCACAAGTCCACCCGAGCAGGACTTGTACATGTCGCTTTATTCCACCGCCTTCCGTCCTGTGCCGTCCATTGTTTCGTTAGTGTTTCCTGGCCGCCATTCGATGCTTCCGCCTGCCACTCCCCACCCTGGTCCAAGCCCACTGCCAGACCTGCTACCACTTTGAGCCTTGTGGCAACATGAGCTGCAATCGCTGCTCCGTGTTGCTTGTTGGGGCGTTTAAAAGTTGTGCCTGATTGCACAGGACAACAGCGAGGAACTGTGGGGGAAGTAATGTCAATGCACTGAGCCAAAAAGGGGGGTTTGTTGGGGGTATTATTTTTAAAATTTAATCAAAAATAAAATTAAGGATAATATATACATTTAATGAAGTTTATAATTCTCAAGATAGTCTTGTACTAATTTATTTAAAGCTACCGTATTTTCTTTCAGTGTTCCCTACATAATATATGAGGCTACCTCTACATGCCTCTGTGGCACGACAAAGTGTAGCAGAAACATGGGACTATGTTGCAGCTTGAATCCTTTTTTTTGGCAGGACAAAGTCAATAGGATTAACTGACATTTCAATGTCAGGGGCCCAGGCCACTAAACCACCCACTAACCAAACCACCCAACCAACCACCCAACCACTGGCACCCACCCAGTGACACACGTGCGACTGTTTCAATGCCAAGTGGCGTCGATTGCGGCGGATGCAGACGCACTTGGCCAAATCGGAGGCTAAGGCTAAGGCTGCCGCTGCGGATAAGGCTGGTTGCCACTCGAGATGCACGCCACATGGCTCCTCCACCCCCACCCCCCGACTAAAGTGTTTAGTTTTCACACTCAGCCGCAGAGGCAGAGGCAGATGCAACTGTTGCTGTGGCACTTGGGCGTTCCATTGTCGTGGCACATTGGTTCGAGAGACTTTATTTTTGGGGGCTTCTGTTCGGAACTCGACATGCAACCCGAAAACATGACCCAATTGCGGTGGCTGGTGATTGCTTTCGATGGGGCTCGCCTTGGCCACAAGGCACGCCAAGAATAGGTTTGTCAGGCCGGCGATGCCTCATCCGTCAGTCGGGTCGAGTGGAGTGACCTTGCCAGGGTTTTTCTGGGCCGAGTCGTAAAAATAAACGTAAACTAGCTTATCGGAATGGATCGCAGGTCGCTAAAAGAAAGAATATATAGGAAAGTATATCATAATAGTCCCCTTAACCCTCATAAGGTCGCAATAGGAAATCCGTAAGCATCTGTAATCCCGGAACCTGGGGTCCAGTACTTCGTAACACGTTGATATTTTTAATCCGTAGCAAACAACAGCCCTTGAATTAATCAAAAAACCAATTTAAAGTGCAGCGTGGGGAGCAAAGTCCGCTCCAGGCCCGGGGGAAAGTGTGCGCAATAAATATTCCCCTATCTATCGCCACATAAAACCCAAAAAACACAATTTTCCAACGCACTCAAGTGGCCCGGGAATCTGGCCGGCGATAAACCATCAATTTTCCTCCAAAATAGAACAATAGAAACCGCTCGCAGGACGGAAAGGTAGGCGGCGAGTGTTTCCGCTTCCGGTTGGGGGTTGGCTTGGGTTGGGTTGGGGGATGCGTGCACTTACCTAGCAGCAGGAGCTTGATGTCCTTGGCCGCCTGGATGCCGTCCTCCTTGAGATTCTTCTCGATCTGTTTGGAGCGCTGTATGGCGGCGCGTTCTTCGGCGGAGGTGGTGCAGCCCATTGTGGGTTCGGATTTTGTTGGATTTGTGACTGAGTGGACTTGGGGTACTTTACACGGGGACTATCCGGTTTTTGGGATTTTCGTATTTTCTCGCTTTTGTTTCTGGTTTCTTGCTTTTTTTTTTTGTTTATGTACAGTTTTACGGTTTAAACTGAAACGATACAGAGGCCCATAAACAATAACAAATGCACACAGGGGTCAGAGGGTGACTCACGCGACAAGACGGACAAGGACAACAGTATCACAGAACGTGGGTGGGTACACTTTTATGGCCGCCACTGTCTGCGCCCAATTATGCTGCTGCTGCTGCTGCTGGGCCCTGGCAGAGGAAGTGGTGCATTAAATTATGAAAACTACTACCAGGACAAGGACTAGACACACTGAACACTAGGCTAGGGTATTCGGACTTCGGTCATCCCCAAAGATATTCTCATTTGTTGTTGTTCTTGTTATCAGTAGCAGCAGCAGCAGCAGCCGCAGTCGCTGAGGGAAAAAGCAAAGGCAGGGAAAAGGCATTGATAGCTGCTAATTTGCATATGGAGCGTACTTTTGATAGGAAACCGAATTCATCAATCGGCCGTATCTTATCGGGGCGACTATCTCGATCTCGATAAGGCTGGTCTCGACTGGTAATTTATCATGTAAGTGAATTAGGCAGTTGGTGAAAACCCAACAAGGTCCTTCGGCCTGATCCTGCTGCCGTTGCTTTCGCTCCTCGGTGGGTGACTTATTGCCGTTTCGTTTCGTTTTTGTTGCTTTTCCCGTGTGTATGTATTAAGCGTGGGCGTAGGCGCAAAGTGCCGGCAAAACGGCCTGCCAAGGAGGATGGTGGCCTCTGGCGAGTGGGGCTGGCGGCGGGACGATGCTTCTACCAATTCAATTATGCAAAGAATATTGCAGTTTTTATGCGCCTTTTATGCAAACAGTGCGTGGCTTTTCTCGGGTTTCTCGTATAAATTTTCACTTATTTCACTCGCACACTCACTCGCAGATACTCACGCACACACTACGCACTCTCGGGCGCCACCCCCGCCCACTCGGCCACCCACCAACCACCCACCCACCCAGCGCCGTATACACACCGCGCCTTGCCACTGTGTGTGTGTCCCTGTCTCTTCGCCTGCGCCTGTATGCGTGTGCAGGAGGAGGCTCTGGCCTGGCTCTCTCCTTTTTTGGTTTGCTTTTCGCTTTTCCCACCCAAACGCCGTTTTCACGCCTTTTTCCGCACTATCCCGCATCCGCACCGATCGCGAGCTATTTACCGTTGCACTTGCCGAGCACTTGCACTTGTAATTTGGCCGCAGGGAAATGGAAAATTGCACTTTTTTCTGTGTGCGAAAAATCGGCCTGGTAAATATTAGGAGTTTCAGTGTTGTGAAGAAATGGTGGGTATTCAGTGTTGGACACGGTCCGCAATGGCTCTTTTGCTCTCTCGAGAGAGAATCTCGCACTCTTGCTCTTCGAAACGGGTAAAAAGGTGGATACCAAGATTTAGTGTTATCAATAAAAATATATTATATATTTTTTTCAAATAAATATGTCGATTTTTATTTTATTTGCTAGAAAGAAATCGAATAAATCAGGATATTATTCAGTATTCTGAATAAGACCAGAATCCTTTACAGAATATATCAACATATTGCCTTTTCTATTTTGGAAACAATACAAGACGTAGCGGGAATACACTTAGGTTTATTAACAATTAGTTTATTTCATAAATAACATTTTTAAAATTATAGCTTATAAGAATTACACTTTTGGCGCTAAATCTGAATTTAAAAATCTGTAACGGGAAAATTTATAAGGGAATCGATTTTGAACAAAAATTATCGATACCAATATCGTTTAGTATCTTATTTAAAACATCGATATTTATGATAGCGAGTTATATCATTTACCAAAAGCATTATTGTTTACCAAACCATGTTGCGGCAATTTCTGGTAAATTATTACTATTTAAACAATCAGAAACTTCTGCTAATACAAAAATCTACAGGCGTCCTCGGCTGTGCGGCGACTTGTGGTGCCTTCGATGGCCCAAACTCGTAGCGCCAGCAATCTTGATAAATCTGAATACACAACACCCGGGGAAATTGTGGATTACGACGATCCACCTCATATCCCAGTGCCGGAATACCCTTCCCGACCCGACGAACCTCTTGAAACGCGCAAGCAACGGTGGGTCTTCCTCGAAATTTTAGCAAACTTTAATATAATTCATAAATATCTTATAGCCTCTTGTACCAGAGCCGTAAACGCGGAATGCTGGAGAACGACCTGCTCCTGAGCACCTTTGTGGCCAAACACCTGAAGGATTTCACGGCAGACCAGACCGCCCAATATGATGATCTGATTAATGGGGTCAGCAACGACTGGGATATCTTCTACTGGGCCACTGAAACCAAACCCACGCCCCCGGAATACGACACGGAAATAATGCGGTTGCTCAAGGAACACGTTAAGAATGCGGAGAAAGTGCAGCGTATACGTCAGCCGGATCTGTAGGCCAAGAAGATGATCAAATTGTATATATTTATGTGAAGAGTTAATTAAATAATTTGTATGTTATATTCCTGAGCCAAATAATGTAGTTTTTAAATCCCTGGACAAAATTCTTCAAGGGACCGGTAGACCCAACAGCTTCCCAAACAATTAAAAACACCAATTCTTTCCTTAAATACACATCCATACTATATATTTAAACGGTTATTCAGTTAATTGAATTCATGCTTGCAGTAGGTGTGTATGACCAATCTTGTATGTATATATAGGGTAGATTTAATATGCTTAATCACTATAGCGAATATTACACTTAAAATGTTCATTTGCCATTTGCTTAGTCTTGCCACAAACACGTAATTGGAGAAATCGATTGAAAATCGCAGAAACACTGGAAACTTGAACGCGGAGAGCTACGTACGTACGTTGATACCAATTAACTATGGAGTTAGCTATTAACATTCTAATTAGATGATTGAACGGTTTCTCACTTAACTATCCCCTTCACAAGCGCGGGTTGGTTATATTCTGACGTTGTGGGTGTTGTGGGTGGAAACAATACGCAGAAGACATAAGACAATCGAGGCGGGGGGGAATTCAGTTGAAAGGTTTGTGTCGCAGCACAGTTAGCAGTTTAATTTTGCATCATAATATTACACACTTGAATGCTTACAGAGGCTAGATAAAATATTTGTTAAACGGTATTAAAATCACGCTAAATCAAAGGCCGCCAAACGTCGTCGCATCTCAAGCAAAATCGAACAGTTAAAAGAAGGGCCAGCGCAGGTAAAATCAGAACGGAAGTAACAACAAAATTTAACCTACTTCGAATTGTAAATAATCTAGATTTAGTCGAGCGTCTCCACGAAGTCCTGCGGATCCACGAACATTGAGGGACTACTTCCGCCGCTCAGAGGACCCGCGTCTGCTTCTGCTTCCGCCGCTGCAGCTGCTGCTGCTGCTGCTGCCACTGCCGCCGCCGCCGCCGCCGATGAAGATGAACTGACTCCGCTGCGATGCCGTCCCCGACGCACTGATCCCGATCCAGCCGCTGAGACACCGGATGAACGCAAGCCGCTCCCCGTCATCACTGGATCGTAGGTGCGGGAGGAGGGCGCCTCGGTGCTGCTCGAGAGCGAGGACTTGCGTCGCCTCTTGTTGCGCCGCCGGCGACGACGCTTGCTCGTCTGCACGGCGACCGCAGCCGTCGATGTGGAGGCTCCGCCGCCGGCGCTGCCCAGCGTTTCGGTGAGGGCCACACTGGTGCGCGGCAGAGTCAGCGTGGTCTCGAACATCTTCAGCAGCGTCGGCGAACTGGGTCAATTTTGCGGGAACACATCGTCGATGGTGATGAAAGCGTCCTCGCCCAGCGAGTGCTGTCCAATGATTTTGATTAGCTCGGAGGCGTGTGCCACGAGATACTCCAGCGGCGGGCGCCGCTCGAAGCTCAGTGACTCTGCAATCACATCGCATTAGAAAAAGACATAAAGAGAGGATTATCTTGGAGACTCACCTAATATGGCCGAGTTGAGCGTGGAGGAAACGTTCTCACGTCGCGAAGGACACAGCAGCCACCCAAGCGGACTGGACCACGGGTTTGAGTAGGCAATCAAGCTAAATGCATCCTACAAGACACAAAAAGGGCTAGACTCTTGAACAGTTTAAGAAATTGAAGCACAAACCTCCAACATTTGACGCTCCTCTTCAGTCATGAGGTTCTCCTTCTCCAGCTGTTGGCCCATGCTGGAGAGCTCCTTTCCAAACTCTAGGATCTTTTCAATGACACGGCCACAGTTGCGAGACGAGGGGGACACATCTACGTCTTGGAAACGAGATAGAATTTGTTCTAAAACATCTCTTGAAATATAAACCAATTATAGCTACCCATTTCCTCGTCGATGGCATCTAGAGAGTTGCGCACTGCGCTGGCATTGCCATTGGAGCAGGAATCGCCTCCGCCGTTGGAGTGACTTTGGCAGGGCTCCATCTCCACGTCCATGCTGTTGCTGTCGTGCTCGACGCACTTGTTGGAATTGTCATCCACTATCATGCTGCAAGAGAGCCAAACTGTTAGAACATTATCCTCCCCATTGGCGCCCAAGGAATTACTTTTTCAAATCGGGCTTATCGCCGCCTTGTGGCTTTATCACAGCTGGAGTCGCAGTGTTGTTCTGTTGTTGTGGCTGGTTGCTATTGGCGTTGCCATTGCCCTTGCTGTGCTTAAACGCCTTGGTCGACTGTATCACGGACGTTTGGTTTGTGGGCATGGTCTGGGTGGTGGCGGTGACTTTATTGTTGGCTTGCTGTATAACAAAGGAATTAAATAGCAGCTCTCTAAGCTCACTTCCGAGGGAAGAACCCACCTCAATATCAGCTCCGTTGACCATCTCGATGAACTGACGACACTTCAGGGCGAACCAAAGGTTCTTGTTATTCTCTAGCAATCCGGGGTATGAGTGTAGGGTGTGTTCGATGGCCTGGCTCATTTTGCCCGTCAGTATTAGCTTAATGATCTCTGCAAGCACCAAATATTTACTTGTTTCACCTTCAAGCGAAGAGTCTCTCACTTACTTTGGCGTGTCTTTATGGACTTTAGATCTTCGTCGAAGGACTGGTTTGTATAGCCGTTGAAGGCCTCGGCAGTCTTGCTGTAGCCATTATGCACCAAATACGTGGAGACCAGGCTGCAATCAAAGGGAAGTTAAAATATATTTAAAAGAAGTGTTAGCTTGGGAGACCCACCGATTCATCAAGTTCTCTGGTGTCTCCAGCAGATGAGGGTATCTGTCGATTTTGCGGAGCACATTGGAGCGCATCTCCTTCATCATGTCCACTATCTTATCGAACTTGAACGGCTCCTGGCCGAAGTTGGCGTCCACCTCCTCGCCGGGAGTCTGCAAGCCCACAGTTGGATATAGTTTGGTCTGAAATATAAAGGTAAAGGTTATAGATTCGAACAAAATAAGGATTTCTTGGATTACCCACCGGCAAGTCCCTAAATGCTATGCCTAGATCCACGCCGTTCTTGGTATAGAAGCAAGTGTTGTTCACAAAGTTGACGCAACATCCGATGACATCGCCGGTGGTGAAGGTGGGCCCATAGGTCTGTCCGTTGCCGGACGAGCTGAACGAGTTGCCGTCGTCGCCATGATAGCCGTATGATTGCTTGTCCCAACCTACTTGAGGGGTGTGTGGTCATTAGGAAGCATGGAGGCATCTCGCCGAGCGTCAACGCAAAACAAACCTGGGAGGCGGTTCATCCGGAACTGCTGGGCAGTCAGTCCGATGCCCATGTAGCCATTCCGACCCCTGGAGATGATCCGTACTTCGAAGTAGTAGAGTCCACAGGAGGACGGTATCGGGTAGGCGGTGCGCACCGAGGCGGCATCACTGTGTTGCTTTCCAACGCCTACAAAGGTCGGAAAATATTTTAAATAATGTTTTAATTTTTAATTCCAAAGTGCCTAACATTTTGTCAGCAGTATAACAGTGCTGGAAGCAGTCTCTGTTAAATGGTTAACAGCCACGCGAATGAGCGTGGGAGGCATGAGCGCTGAAAAACAAAAACCACCAGACCACAGCTGAGAGAGCAGATGTGTGGGGGAGAGAGCGGGACAACTGCAGCTACACCCAGTGGCCCCCAAAGTGCACTCACTACTCCCCATCCACTGCTTTCTCCTGCTCCATTTATTTCCCTCCTTCGTTGTAGGGTATTTATTTTAAGAATTCTAAGCTATCCTATTTTAACTTTTGATAAAAAATTCATTCTTTTTTTTTTGGCAAATTTTGGACTTTCAGATAATAGGTTTTAATTCCAACTAAAGATAAAGTTACATTCCAGTTTCCCTCCATTTTGTGTATCCAAAACGAAACTAGGTTAAGGGTTAAGTCAGTATACAGTTATTGTGAAACAGATGATTAAACAGTTAAAGCTCTCAGTTTCGAAGGAAAATATTAGTCACCTGTCTGGTCGGTCATCCGACACCAGCAACGAAATAAAATCCAAACTTCCAGACCGACAGAAATACTCTTCCCTCCTAGACTAGAAATAATATTAACTTGAAGACTCACCCTTGTAGGTCACTCGAAGATTGTTTTGGGACAATCCAATCGACAGACACTTGTCGTGGGGACTCCAGCAGCGCGGCAGCGGCGTCTCATTCTCGTTGACATTGGGATAGAGCACCCTCAGGGGATCCACGCCCGGGTGCTGCGGGGAATTGGAGGCGGCGGCCGGGGCCGAGTGCTGGCGGCGACTGCCGACCCGGGGCGAGCCCTGGGCGTTGCTGCGGGACGAGTGGCTCGGGAACATGTCGTTGCTGAAGTGACTGCCGTTGTTGCTGTAGAAGTGGCGAGTGCGTCGGCTGCTGCTGCTGCTGCCGCTGCTGTTGTTGTTGTTTATATTGTTATTGTTGTTGTTGTTGTGGTGGCGCGAAGCACGCAGCTGTTGGGGCAGTGGTGTAGTGGAGTAGCGGGGCAGAACGGCCACAGAATGCAGCCGGTGGACGCCAGGTGCGAGGGGTTGCTCCTCTCCGTCGCCTTCGCCTGCGCGGACGCCTCCTTCCTCCTCCGCCTCGCCTTCTTCGTCCTCGTAGTCGTCGATGCGCTCCACGGCGTTGGCGTCTATGGTATCGGCAATGGCGTTGGCGTCTATAACCTCCCGATGCTCCTGCGACTCCGAGTCCGGATCTTCCGCTTCCTCCTCCAGAAGCAGCGGTGGCGGTGGCTCAGCTTCCGGTTCGTCCTCTGGTTGGGGCTGCTGTTCGCCTTCCGGATGCGGCTGTTGCTGTTGCTGCTCCTCCAACTGCAGGTCCGGCTCTCGATCCTGTACTGGTTCCGGTTGATCTCGCTGATCCTGCGGAAACGGCAACTGCTCTAGCTGCTGCTCATGCTCCTGCTGCTGCTGCTGCTGAGGTGCCGTCGATGGAGTCGTGGGTGGCGGTGCAGTCTGGTGGAAAGTAGGAGTGGGTGAGTGATCATGCGATGATGATTGTTGCTGGTCGCGACCCTCGAGATCAGACGGTGCATTGAATGGGTCGGGAACTGGGGCGGGCGAGAGGGCAGGTGGCGAGGGGGAGGGAGTGGGAGAGTGCGAGTGCGAATGGGGGGAGTGCGACGGTGAGGGGGCTCCAGCGGCCCCCGACTGGGAGAGCTGGTGGGAGCTGCTGCTGGCGCTGCTGTTGTTGCTATTGCTCTCCGAGGAGAGCTGCGGAGGCTCAAAATTGTTGTCACTGCCCTCGATGTTCTCCATGGATGCTCTTGTTGTTGTTGCTGTTGTTCTGGATGCTATTTCGTTCTTGTTGCAAACAGGAGACTGAGAGAAAGAGTCAGGCGAACGATTAGAGAGCAGCGCTATTGGGTGAGTGAGGCTGCAGCGATTTTTGAGCAGATGAGCGAAATGTGAGCGCACGGATGCTGTGTATACATGAGGACGCTGGGGGAGGAGTGGGGTAGAGGACGGGGGTGGCGGCCCAGCACACAGAAACACAAACAACCTCCAAGATGCAATGTCCTTTGTCCGTTACACTGTCCAACTCTCTCTCTCACTCTCTTTCTCTACTGCACTCTCACCTTTCTCACACGCTCACTGACCCAAAATGCATCAGCAACAATTCATGGAAATAAAACAACAACAACGACAACAACAAGTACAACGCAAAACAACAACATCTGTGTAGTTTACAGTTGCGACGCGCAGCTGCAGCCCCAAAAAAACAACAAGAACAACAAGAACAACCAGAGCAAACGGGAACAACTACAGCTACAAAACTGCATGCAGGCAAAAGGAAAATCGATAACCAATCAAAATTAGCCAACGTTTTCTGCACTCTTGCTTTTGGAATTAAACAATGTTTTCATTGAAAATGCCTTTTACGTCGTTCATTTCTGAAGTTTTCTTTGTTTTCCCTCTAACCAAAGAGTCACTGTCCACATACACAAACACAGCACTCTCTCTCTCTCCCTCTCGCACACATGCATGAAACTGCACGCACACACACGTCGCACGCATACACGGACGCACAGAGAAGAAAATTTTTAGCTGGGGCCATGAATTTGATTCTGGGGACGTTCTGGCAGATGAATTTGCTTTGATTTGCATTTAATGCTGCTGAACTGAGTGACTGCGATTTGATTTGGCGAGATAATTACCTTTGAGCAGTTGCTATGCGTCGTTTAAGCTACGAAATTTCTGTTTTATGTATGAAATGGTGTTTCTTAACACTGACCATTAAGTAGAGATGTGAAAAATGTTTATTTACGCGACATATCGATATTTACCTGCGAAATTATATCGAACTATTTTTACGCCAAACCATCACAGAGATCGAGCGCCAATTTCAATTTCAGAGTATTTCTACAGTACTAAAAAAAAAAATATCATTTATGATGTTTATTTTTACAATATTTACGTCTAGATCTTTATATTATACTCCATAAAGTAAAAAACTTTTCAACATCAATCTCTTTTCAGGGCTGGCAAACCAGATATTACACCTACAATTATAAAAATGAACTTAAACTTGGTTTGGTAATAGTTTTTATTCTTATCAGCATTTTATTGTAATCCAAAAAGGAAGCACTTGCTATTTTTAATAAATAACACTGTTTTAATTGATAACTAATCAATGATAACCGAAAGAGACCGCATGTTCCTCATCCAATGTTTCTGTTGTGAAAGTCGCCGCTATCTTGACGCGCATTAAAATAAATCAACAAACATTTTTTGGTTTAAAAGTTTAAATGCATTGATTACAAATCATGATTTGCCGTTTGTGCCTAAGTAACAACGTTCCGGATTTTGATACGATCGACATTTTTGAGGCAATGGGGGTATCCCTGAATGTGGCCAATATATTGGCCAAATATTTCTGGTTTGAGGTAAGGTTGTTTATCCTCAGTTTGAGTTTAATTTAAGGCTTTGTTTTGTTGAATTCCAGCCAAAAAGCGACGATCCGATATCGACGGTTATTTGTGTGAACTGCTGGAACAAAGTGAGCAACTTTCACGAGTTCTACCAGTCTGTGGAGAAAGCGCATCGCCTGCTCACGGAACGGTTCTCTCTGAAGTCCGAACAGGATCAGCCGAAAACAGAGGCACCGGAGGAGCAGCTTTTGCTGGAACAGGAAGAGGCAGACGAGGATGCGGATGAGGATGACGAGGATGACCAGCATGCGGGGGGACTACCTAGTGACGATGAGAGCACGGAATCCTTTAGCAACGAGCAGTTCTTGAACGAAGTTATCACTCAGCAGGAGGAAGTGAAGGAAACTACCCAGTCAGAGGCTAAGGAAGTGGCTTCTATAGCTACAGGGGAACGCCGGGAGACCCGATCCTCCAGCAAAATTAAATCTCAAGTCCCGGAAGAACTTCCTCCACCTGCAGTCACCAAAGTTCCAGTTTCCAAAAAAAGAACCAAGAAGAATTCCAGCAAACCAGAGGCCACCCTCACCAAAAACAAGCGCTATGTGGACTACAAGCAGTCCATGCTGGCCATTGACGCCAAAATCGCGGCGCACATGCGGCTAACATGCGACGTTTGTCACGAGGGACAGGAGACCTTTCTGCTCCTTTGCAAGCACATGATGCAGGCGCACCATCGGAAGGGCTATGCCGTCTGCTGCAATAAGAAGTTTTACAAGCGCTCCTTTCTGACGGACCATATCGATCGGCACGCCGATCCCGAGAAGTTCAAGTGAGTGGTAAAGTGGAGGCCACCAATCTGACAAAACAGCACTTGTGGGAGTTTCTTTACTAACACTGTATATTCGTAGATGCAATCAGTGCGACAAGAGGTTCGCGGACAAGCAGTGCCTGAGGAACCACGAGCTGCTGAAGCACCAACCGGAGGAGGAGAAGATCTTCATGTGCGAGCAGTGCCCAAAGAGATATACCAAACAGTATTTGCTGGATCAGCATCGTGTCATACACAAGGAGCGCAACGTGGTCTGCGATATTTGCGAAAGGAGGTGGGTGATACTCCAATACCTCTAGTACTAGATATTAAAATTTGTATCTCTACAGATTTCCCAACGAATCGATGCTGTGTACGCATGTGAAACTGGTCCACGGGAACTATGGCACTATGTGCGACATCTGCGCGCAGGTCATCCGTGGTCGAGCCGCCTTCCAGCGGCATCAGCTGGAGCACGCCGGCGTGACGGAGCCCAAGGTGCAGTGCGACATCTGCGGGTCCTGGCACAAGAACAAACACAGTCTAAAGAAGCATGTGCGCCGCCACAATGGCACCGCTGCCACCTGCGACCTATGCGGCAAAGTGTCGCCAAATCGGAGCGCAATGTTGAGCCATCAGCGGTACGTTCACCTCACGGATCGCAAGCACGAGTGCAGTGTGTGCGGGAAGGGCTTCAAGAAGGGCATATCCCTGCGCGAACACATGACCATGCACACGGGCGAGGTTCTGTACAAGTGCCCGCACTGCCCAAAGACCTTCAACTCGAATGCCAACCAGCACACCCACAGACGGAAGTGCCATCCCAAGGAGTTCGAAGAGGCGCGCCAAGCGCGCTCCGAAAAAAGAAAAGCCCCCGAGGACGAGACTACCAGTATCCTGACCATTTCGACGACGGCTGGCGAGGGTGGCGAAACGCATAGCATTCTGTTGACCCAAACCGACGAGGACCTCAAGTCGGACAGTATCGAGTTCACTCTGTGTCTTAGTCCAGAAGCGACAGATTAAATATTAATATTGTGTTTGGATCTGGGAATTGGATTTTGAAGAAAGGTGAAGATTTTGTGGCATCTAATGCAAAGTATGTACAATGTACATAATTCCTTAGAATTCGAATATCAAGCTGACGAAATTAATAAATCGGTTTGTCAATAGAACTATTTATTGTAAAGATCCTTAAGCTAGCAGAGTTCAACAAAATAGACGGATACATGTATTTAGTGGAATGTGGATTTTTGTTTTCAAATACTAACCCCTTTCGCAAATTATTTCCACAGCATTGGGCTCCATTAAAACGGACTCCAGGCAGCGCTGGACAGCAGAGCCGAGGATTTCGTCGAGGAGGAAGTTCACCAAGCTGCAAGGACTGTCCTTAAAATTCAAACTAGCTTTTAGTTTCATGGCTGACTCACTTTTCATCGCTCACGAACCGCCAGAGGTTCATTTGCAGGTAGTGGGCATCCACTTGGATTTGCTGAAGTCCAAACTTGCTAAACGTCCTCAGGCGCACGCACTCCAAGAGGGTCTGTAATAAAGGATACTTAAACATCGCGATGGAACATAGGAAACCAAAGACCCACCTTTAGACCAATTTTGATAATGCCCATCACAATGGACGCCTTGGTGAAGTCCACTGACGTGAAGATCTCCACTCGTTCGGAGAACAGTCGATGTATGTTGGACACGTAACTGGATTCCAGCTGCGACGGCGTGTAGTTGGACCAATTGGAGCGATATTGCGGCTTCGATGCCGAGGCAAAGTTGCTGAAGTAGGTCTTCCGGCTGGAATCACTGCTGGCTGTAGTGCGGAACCCGGAAGCTGTGGTGCCCGTGGACTCATACAGACTGGCCACCACGGTCTCAATGCTGCCCAGCTCCTCGACCACCCGCTTCATCACAGCGCGCACGGATCTGGGCTCCAGGCAGTTCAGCCAATCCCTCGTTTCGACGCTTTTCCGCAGCATCTGTGAGATGTTTGTGCCCTGCAGCCGAACATAGGCGTCTAAGAGAGCCTGAGCCGTTTCCCGCATCTCGGCACAGATTTCGGTTTCGTGGGTCAGAGTGGCACTGTTCTCAGAGTCGATCTCGTAGAGGTCATCCACCAGAGCAATCTGGATTATAAAATAATAAGGAGGGAAATTTAAAGACGATGAAGATGAAGATCCTCACCAAAATGTGAACGCCTTGCTGCTCCAGTTCCAGGCATGTCTTGGAGAGAACCAGCAGTAGATTTGGGGGACTGGAGCTGGAGGCGTCACCGAAACCGCACATAACCTTGGCTATGTGACGCAGGAAGCCGATCAGCAGGTTCTCCCGTATGCCCTCCACACACAGGGCGCCTTTGTGCTCGGCCTTGATGTTGAAGGACCAATCGGTGCGCAGAAAGATCAGTAGATCCTGCAGCACACCCTTGATCTTTTCCACCATGGCCACGTATAGATTGCTAATCAGATCGCTCAGATTCAGGCTACCGGTATCGCTCTTGGCCGAAACCAAGGACAACCTCACGGCACTCAAGCTGTCGGCAAAGTGGTCCTTGAGATTTTTCGAATGAGCATCGCACAACTGGTGGGCAGCTCCAATAATGATGGAAACAGTGTTGCGTTGGACCTCGAGGCCGCGGCAGATATTTCGCATGGCCTGCAGACGTCGGTGAAGGCGATCCAGAGCGCGGAGCATCACCTGGGTGTCGCCGTAGCCAATATCAGACTCAACACGGTCCTGGACGAGGGTCAGATACTTGTCAATGTTCTGGTTGAGGAATACATTCAGCTCCTGCAGGGCGTTCTCCTGAAAGTCATCTCTGTTGAAGATAAAGGAAGCTATATATGGTCTTTGGGAATCATGGTAGGAAACCTTACCTCTCATGCTCGTAGTGCTTGGCAACAAACATGTCAAAGTAGGAGGTCACCACCAAGGCCAAATCGTTGAGGAAACCGTCGATGCCCATGTCCACAAACTCCAGCATATCCCGCTCCGTTTGGTCCTGCAGCATGACAATCTGCTCGTGGAGTCGTTTTCCGGCGCAGGTGAGCATCTCGCTGGCCAGGTCCGAAGTCTTCTCGTCCAACTGCAGGAGCAGCTCTCCGATTTCGGTTAGCGATTGGGCCGTATTCCCAGCCCTCTGAAAATCCTTCCGCAGGCGCTCCTTCAAATCCGCCATTATGGCATCGCAATCCTTTTGGATGCCGTCGAACGAGGGTTGCCGTCCATATTGAGCGAACACCTTCTGGGCGTGGAGGTAATCCTGCACTGCTTGCGAGTAGTTCTGTTCCTCGATGAGGGATTTCAGCTTGGCGGGGAGGGTGGAGAGGAACTGCAGCCGCTTGAGGAGAGAGTGCTTCTCGGACAGACGACAGAGCTGCGATCGGGTTCCCTGGAGAGTTCCCGTGATCTGCTCACTAAAGGTGGTGATGGACTGCATTTTGGTCATCAGAAGATTCACATCCGTCTCCATCTGCTTAAAATCGTCCTTCATTCGGCGAATAGTGTCCGTGGCGGAGATGAACTTGTTGTAGTTCTCGTAGACCAGGGTTTGCATGTCCGAGTGAAGGGTTTGGGTATCCTTTACCACAGCTGCCTCCGTGTCCATAATTTGTTTCAGCGAACAGTCCTTGAAAAAAATAAATAGAGAAACGAAACATAAGGTGGGTTCTTGGGTTGGGTCACCAACACGTATACCTTTAGCAGCCTCTCCAGGTACATTTCCGAATCGAAGCTGGAGCTGTCCATGTCGTAGGGATTCTCGTTGGCTTCACCCATTGCACAGTTCTAGCTCTTAAGCCTAAGAAAATAAATTATAAGTAAAAATCCTCCGTTTCGGTTAGGTTGTTGATATAAAATTGATATATCAAAATATCGATATTTTAAAACAAATCATCAGCTGATTATATTTAGGTCCACATATCGATATTTAAGTATGGTTAAAAACAAAGAACATTTTTGTAAATTGGAAAAATGTTTTATGAAATTAATACTGTTAGTTTTCTCTATTCTTTTCTTCGTTTTATCCTTATTCTAATATTTTTATTGGCCAAATTGAAATTTTAAATTTACTTCGATTTTCAACACTGTAAGAAATTATGCTGCCAGATTACGTGGGATCTATCGATAAATGGGCGCATTATTTGAAATTGTCCTTGTAATAATATTTTCGATTTCATAAAATTAAGCACTAAAAGTTACAATATTTACTTTTAAATAATATTCAGTAAAATATATGTGTAGTTTTTAAAGGAAACTCTATTGTAAGTTTTTATAAGTATTCAATTAATTTATACAAATGTGGTTTAGTGCAACATTCATATCAGCTTATTCGAAGGTTGAAACTTTCGACTGATAAGAAGGAGGAACTTGTTTATTTATAATTCGATTCGGAAATCAGTTTCAAAAGGTTCTTCAAAGCGTTCACAGCATGCAGTTTTTTGGTTTGATTTTAATCTTGATAATTGCTCTCTGGAATTCTGTGGCCGCCGGAGGTACTTGCTTGAAATCACTCTCATTGATACATTTGTGTAATTATTTAGTCATTTTACAGATTGTGTGACAGACCCCCTGACAATGCTGTGCATATTGGATCCAAATCAGGGGAAATAAGCGCGTGTATATCTTGCCAATAACGTACAAAAGTGGACCATGATGTGAGTTTCTTTATACTAAGTAATTCAACAGGGGGCCGCCCTGGCAACGTGTGGCAAATCGCATTAAACATTCCACGCCCCCTGGTTGTAAGAGGCTCACGATGGAATTTTTGGATTCCATTTGTTTTGATTTTGATACCCTCGAAATGGATATTATACTAAAAGCTAACTTTTTGGCCTTCAAAATTGTCAATCTTTGTATCCTGATTTTAAAATATATTTCGGAATAACTTTTTTTCTTCAAAATTTATTATCCTATATGTATGTTATTTCTAGGGCATTTCGCTCTCGTCACGGGTCACCCGACTACCATCGACATATTTCTTTTATTTTTTTTTTGAAGGGAACTTTTTTGGAGGGAGTTTGTCTGCCCGCTGGCGACCGTGTCAAGTTGAATGAACATGGACAAGTTTTTGCCACTTACCGAGGGGAGAAAGTTTCTCTGTTGGGCCTCGCCCCGAAGCCTTGCCTTGTTCGGCTGCTGTGGCCACACTTTCCCTTAGCCCTACACTCGTTTTTGCCTTCTTTGCGGCGGCTCATTTCAAATACATTAACATTTTGACCTTTTGCAAAAAGTTCGAGCTGCTCGCCGGGCCAAATTTAATTTCGAGTTGTGTGCAGATTGTGCAAATCACACGCTGCTCTTCTTATCTCCCATTCACCTTGACAGTGGAAGTATATGTACATCCGGTCATCTTTACGCGTGTACTATGTACACAATATACTCGTATATTTTGAAAGAATTTCTAAAAATGGATTTTTATGGTATTTCATAGGGATCTAAATTCCTAGCTCTGTATATAGGTACTGTTCTGGGTATGAATATGTCGTTGCATACCTGCAGGCAGAGGATTCCATAGCAATCCAAGCACACAGGACTCACACCCACACAGGTGTGTGCCACAAACTTTGCTTTCATCAAACTGAAAATTGAATTTACGTAAGCCGAGAGAAAGTCACAAAAAAATTGTGAGGAAAACTGAAAAACGGGAACGAAGGCACCGTCAAGCGTCGAACGTGTCAAGGTCAAGTCAAGTTGCCATTGTCGTCTCTGTCCGTATATCCCTTCATCCCCCAACCACCCACCTCCAATTTTTCCCGTCCTGCTCCATATTGTGTGAGCAACAGGGACGCTACATGCCACTCTCCACCACCCACCACCCACCACCCCCTACTCCTTCACACTTCCACTTCCGCCTCATGTGCTTGTGCTTGTGCAGTTTGAAGTGCGCCAAGTCGTTAAATTAATTTCAGTGCACTCAGAAGACAGGAGCAGCGGAAACTGGAGCACAGCTAGCGCTCATTTTAAACGGATTATGTGCACGGCATTGATGGGGGTACACTGTAAAAATATTAAATAAACTAATCTTAAGTTCTTTTCAATTATACATAAAAAATTATAAGTATTCATGACATTTTTTTAAAAAATATTTGGAACCATTTTTTTTATTTCATAGAGTATACTTATTTAAGATGATTGGTACAATAATATAAACGGGTTAAATTATTACCATATTTTAATATGAAAATATATGAAATATTTAAAATACATACAAGACAACGCTTTTTGTTGCAAATTAAAATGTAAGTTGGACTGTTTAAAACAATGAAAAATAAGGAAATTTTTAGGAAAATCATTTTTTAATCAATAAATCAATCATTTTTTTGAAGGAGTTTTTTTTTTTAATCCTAGTGAGGTTAACGCTGCGAATGAGTAATATGTTGAACATTTTTTAGCTCCTTAACCATTTGGCTCATACAAAATATTATTAAAATTTTATATTCAGACTTTAAAGCGTTTTTTACACTTTATTTAGTTTAACATTCACTCCTTGCAAATCGAATATCAGGACTGAGCCTCCAGTGCGTATGAGTAATCAGAGATCAAAGCTAAAAAACCATTTAGTTCCATTTAAACATATACATAAATGTTTAATAGGGTCTATTTCCATATTAGTTAGATTCTATCTTAATATTTAGATATAAATTTTAACACTATTTATTTATATATTTTATTGCAAAATTTGTGGCAACACTGCGTATGAGTGATTATTTTTTGATAGTCTTGCTTCTGTAAATTCGGTATCTTATCTATAAAATATTGTTTATTTCTCTCAGTGTGATGGCAGATGGGTGTTGGCTGATTTAAAAAAGGAAGTTCCATGGGTCAGGGGTAGCTGCTTTGGCTTCCGCGGCAGAGATTACTGGCAAGTGCCGCGCAAAGAGAAGTGAGGCTGCGTGAGTGGACAGCAAATGAATGGCAAACAAGGCGAATGCCATAACACACACAACTTAAAGCCAAGTCAGAGAGGAAACAGGACGTAGTGGCCAGTTGGCTCAAAGCGATTGGAGCGTGGGTGTGGGTGGGAGGCTCAAATGGCATGCCTGATTTCACTTAAAGCTTCAGCTAACACTTGAAAGTCCTTCTTATGGAACGAAAATTCACAAAATGGGAAACTGATAGGTTTCATTTAAAGCTGAATATTCAATGATAATTGTTTAAAGGCAATCTAACAGCGTTTAAAGTTAAACAAGGACTAGTATTAAGGAGTGTTTTCAGGCATAATATTGCTGAGTATTGATAAATTCGGGAAAAAACATATTGGCAGGATAATTCGTACTGAAAGGATCCCCCAAAAAAGTGCATCTCCTTTGTGATGCATTGCTTTTTCCACTTTCTGCGCCGCGATAAGGTTGTCAGGCGCTGACAGGTTTATCAGCCGCCAAAGAAACGCAATTTAAATGCATTCACAAAATAAAAGCACCGCGGAGTGGCGTGGTAAGCCAAAGGATGTGTGCCCACACACCCACACACTTGCGCAAACAATCGGGAATGCATGCAGATGTATGCCAGTCCCAGCGGAGGATTGGGGGCTTGGAGAATTCCCATAAATCTGCACGCAAAGTGCTTCCGGCCTACCAGCCCAAAATGGCTGACGCTTCTCTTCCGCCACCGCAGCTGCCTCCTAGCTCCTGGTAGCTCCACTTCGTCCTGGGGCCCTTTAATATCGCTAAAGGGCCGGCCGCAGGTGTTTACCTGTGGGTTGGGACACAAATAAGGGCCTGCAAGCATCCTGGGCCAGCCAATGCAAATGCAACTGCCTCTGGTACGGCCGCCGCAAGGCAAAAGAATTGCGGCTGTGCCACTTTGTGGATGACCCGCATCTTGCGGCAGTGGCAACTGATAGGCGGTCACAGCGTAATGTGGCTACTATTCCCTAGCAAGTGAGGGATGGCTGTAAAATCGAGGTTACACGATGTCCTTAAAACTGAAAAAAATTCAGAGTAATAATAGATATTACAATTAATGTTAAATAAAATACATTAATCTGTTAAATAGTCCAAGCTTTAAGCTTTAAGCTATTTATTAAATATATATAAACTGATTAGATCTAGACTATTTTTGTGCAGTGTATCAAGAATCCCCTCACCCACATTTTCTGCCTCTGTCAGTTGGCGTTGGCGTTGTCAATTTTTTATTGCCCTTTGGCAGCTGTGTGTGTTTTCGAGCTCTGGGAGGATTCGGATGCCGCTTTCGAGGTTAGCGGGTCACGTGCCGCTCTCGACCTGCTCCTCCAACATTTGCCACATTCTGCTGCGACAAAATCAGCGCTGTGGCATCTTCGCCAGCAATTGAATTCAAATGAAGCCGGGGCCAAAAAGGCGGAGATGCCCCAGCAGAATAAATGCGATGCCATAAATCAAGCATAAAAATTGACATTAATTTTGCCCGCGAGAGGAGAAAAGAGATGGAGGCATCCCCAAAGAAAGAGAGGGCAAGCCGCTTACGTGGGGAGCTTGGCGAATTCAATTCAGGGAAGCGAAAGCGCTGCGCATCGATCACGCTTGGAATATTCAAGTGACAATCAACCGAACTCATCCCGGTTTTTCAGCGCTTTTCCATTTCCATCTCCATCTCCACCTTTCAAATCTCTACCTCTCCAATCTCCACCTCCTAACTCCACCTCATTTTCCTGTCGTTGTGCTCATCTAAGCGAAAATGAAAAAATTTGAATGAATTTAATCGGATACGTTTGTGCATTAGTTTTGCGGTTTTGTTGGTCTTTTTTGGGAAATTTACATTTCATATTTCGCATCCCGGGCGTTCCATGATTTTCACGCATTATGCAATTAAAATTGCCCCCAAAGTATGTTTATAACAATTGTGCGGTTTTGCAAAAATAACTAACTAATCAAGCCGCAGACCCCACGGCTGGCCAACTGCTGACCACAGTTTGGATTTTGGAGTCCAGTGCAATGAAACGAAATGAAAACTTTTATGGTCTGATAATCAGCATTTGATGGCTATATTTAGAAGGGTTGTGCCGTCCACATTTTTGGGGGCGACATAAAGGGTTGTTGGGCCAAATTCTAGGTGCATTAGGCTACAGACTGCCGGACCAAAATAGCTTAAGAGGCCGGAATTGATAGCCCGATGTCTCTGCTTGTGTGTATCTGTCGTCCTGTCTTTCGTCACCCTGCCCGCCATTTGCTTTCTCCGTTCGCGTGTCCCGCATTTTTATAGCATACTTTCGAGCGAATTGCTTTATACTTGTCCGCTTGGAAATTATTGCCATCTGGGGACCCGATTTGGTTTACACTTTACTTTTCTGGCTCCTCGCACTCACACTCACACTCGCACTCGCATCCTTGCCATTTGCGTTCAAAGTCGAAAAATGTCCTGTCCACTGAAAGAAAGTCTACGGTCTGTGTGCCGTTTGTCCGGCCAGAGGTCAAAGGGTAGATAAACTCAGTGCAATGCTTGGCAAGAAAAAATATTATCCTTCTCGCTGTGAATGGATAAGGATCTTTTGTGTCCGTCTCCATGCTAATAAAGGTAAATGCCATTAGGACTGTAATGCTGCTGAAAGCAAAGTCCTGGAAAATGTATGCACGTTTCACATATACAGTGAGGCTTGACTAAGGGAAATATCGAATATAATCTCTAAATATCTATCTAATGAGTAGTATTCTAGTTTTAATTATACTTAATTATTTTTATATAAATCTTATTTTCCATTAAACCCTATCGCCTTGGAGAAGCTCCACTGTAAGCGGAGTACAAACATATAATGCGACGTGGACATATAGCAGATGGGTGGAATAGGCCAAAGTTCTCACGTGGATCCTGTTTGGGGAGGGGCCTGGGCAGGGCCATGAGGATGGCGTTGGGGAGGTCCTGTGAGAGATTCCTGGCAGTCGCGTCGCCACATGGAATCAACAGTTTACCTGGTTGGGTGCTTTTG